CCAGCTGTAGGTGACCTTGACTGACCATCCAATGTCATACCATCAACCAGCTGTAGGTGACCTTGACTGACCATCCAATGTCATACCATCAACCAGCTGTAGGTGACCTTGACTGACCATCCAGTGTCATACCATCAACCAGCTGTAGGTGACCTTGACTGACCATCCAATGTCATACCATCAACCAGCTGTAGGTGACCTTGACTGACCACCAAATGTCATACCATCAACCAGCTGTAGGTGACCTTGACTGACCATCCAATGTCATACCATCAACCAGCTGTAGGTGACCTTGACTGACCACCCAATGTCATACCATCAACCAGCTGTAGGTGACCTTGTCTGACCATCCAATGTCATACCATCAACCAGCTGTAGGTGACCTTGACTGACCATCCAATGTCATACCATCAACCAGCTGTAGGTGATCTAGTCTGACAATCCAATGTCATACCATCAACCAGCAGTAGGTGCCCTTGACTGACCACCCATTGACATACCATCAACCAGCTGTAGGTGACCTTGTCTGACCATCCAATGACACACCATCAACCAGCTGTAGTTGACATAGTCTGACCATCCAATGTCATACCATCAACCAGCTGCCGTTGACCTAGTGTCCACCTGATTCATTTACAGCTGTCACCTCCTGTGACCAGCTCTGGTGGCTTTGGACCTATTCTGTGGTACATACCTCACTATATATAATAATAATAATAATAATAATAATAATAATAATAATAATAATAATAGTAGATTTGTATTGCGCTTTTCCATACTTGGATATTATGCTCAAAGCGCAGTGAGATTTGATCAGAAGAAAGCTTGGCGGAAAAGATGGGTTTTAATAGCTGTTTTGAAGGCAGAACAGGTTTGACACTGGCGAACATCAAGGGGAAGATTGTTCCAGGCAGTGGCTGCAGCATATGCAAACGATACTATAATTATGTTCATCATCTTCTCTATATGTGTAATAAGGAACAAAATAAACAAAGACAACAAGTGACTGGTTTATTCTCTCTTGTATTTACTAAAATACATCAGTTAACAGTAAGGCACTAATCACTCAGTTGCTAATTGAAGTCTCCATAAAATATTCCATTAGTAACAAGATGTCAACATTTTCCATGATCCACAATCTGCAAACTAAATGAGATTGTTGTTTTGTTCTCTTCCAAAACAATCAAGTTAGCATCAAATATATCAAATCAGAATAAAATACATTTAAATGCAAGATCTAGGAAGCTTATAGCATCATATTTAAAAAAAAAATTAAAAAATAAATAAATAAAATAATTACGCATGAGCAATTGTTTTGGACAATATTCAATTATTCATTGAAATTTGTACAGATATGACAGAGTAATGGCCAAATATGGATGATAAAATATGGCAGTTGTGGTGGCCATCTTGAAATTTGACTTGAACTAATCTGACTAAAACAACATTGCTCTGTGTGTGTGTGTGCGTGCATGTGCAGAGGTGTGGAACCCCCCAAACACACACACTCACCCCTAATATCACCAAAAAAATGAATCTTTATGTTTGTTTCCACAGCTATTTACACATATACCTAATACCATCATGTCAGAAAACAATAGAATTGAGGAATGGCCATGGGATATCTTTTTAATTTGTTCTGAATAGTTGAAGTGCAAAAATCAAATCAAGGTTAAAATTTGAACCAATAGGAAAAACTGAACAGTTACTTATTCTTATAAGTCTGACTACACGTACCTCATATTATTTAATGTTTCACAACAAATTACCAACTAACTGTCATGGTTAGCTTTTTCAGATGGCCACCATATTGATCTGTTGAACAAGTTCGGGTGCAATCATTAATTCGAACAAGCATGTGAAATTCCACATTCATTGTTTCGTTTATTTCTTAGAAATGCTTCCGAAAGACCAAGAACAATGGTAAACTGGCGCCAGACTTACAGGTTGTGACAAAAGCTACATAAGCTCAGTAGACATAAGTCAAGTTATTTGAAATGACTGTTAGTCTTGACTCTTTCAGTAGGTAATATTCTGAATGATTTCTATTGGGAGCCTCTACACATAAACAAAGGGACATAACTCTCAGGGACGTTATGGATACCTGATGGGTGCAAAGCGACCCTATTTCTGGTCCAGGTTACGCTTAAACTCTACCACCACCATGGATACTTGACTGACTTATAGAAAGATGAGACCTGTCTATACCATACATCTTACACCTACCAATGAACTTATTCTTAAAGGTCACATGCAACGCAAAACACAACTTTGCAGATTCTGATACCTTTCGGTATGGACTTACAGTAACAAATTATCAAAAATGCAAATTCAACTTATAAAGTTGAAAAATAACGTGATGAAAAAACCCCCGCGAAATTGGAGTTCAAACAATTCACTAATTTCACCCCAGCTGGGGTGAAAAGTGGTTTCAACAGCTGTGATTTGGTTCGCGCGGCTTGAACCGGGAAGGTGACTCATAAAAACACAGCAAGTGATGCGTGCAAGGATTATTGCTGTGGTCGAAGTTAGAGAACAAAAGAGGTTTCTTGTGATTACAAGCATCTTTGGTCTGCAGTAATCAAAATACACTGGTCCCATACTTTTTCTTATATGTTTTCACATCTTGCTTTTTGGGGGTTGGCAGATTTGCAAACCAAGTTTTCAAGAAATTGTAGCAGTAGAAATACTAATTTCTTTGTTTAAAATTGCTCAGCTTGTAAACTGAAATCTTTTAATACATGTCTATAGAAACATAGAAAAATATGTTGATTCTGATAAGCAGTCTCTGTCACAGACAAAACTCAATGTCTGTTTTATTGACACCTATGTGTCTGCCTGCCTGTCTGCTAATGACAATATGCAATACACAACTTCAATCATTGACCACATGCAATTTGAACTTGAAACGTATCAGGCTATACACCATAAACAAAATACATTGATTTATGGCTCGTGCACCTGAGTTCTGTAATTACACAGACAGGCAGGTGTGATACTTGTACACATGACATGTTATTATGTCTGTGGGATGCAAACAAACAGCATCCATTTTTCTCGGATGACTGGACTGGCCCGGAACCGGTGCAAACTCAGATTGTCCGTGTCAAGTCCTGCTTTGTACTTGAATGAACGACAGTTTCCAGCCACGCAGTAGTTCACCATCTCAGTATTTGTTGATTGGATCGAACGCAAATGCAGAAGAAATGAGCATGTATTTACAAAACCCAACATCTCTATATACACACACACAATGAGCCCTCAGCGTATCGGCAAATGAACCAGCCAACGAAAGTTTCGTAACACTTGAGTGCACACCCACTCTCTCTGACTGGGCTCGGTCTCCCGGGTGCTTCGTTTCGAGGGAAGTAAACCCAAGTACCAAATATTGCACTTTTGATTTGCGCTTGTACGCTTATAATTTTGTTTATTTGTTTTTCATAATCAGCAATGTATATTACATGTCATGAAAAAGTGATAATTGTGTTTTAATTATGTTTGTTTTTTTAGTTGCATGTGACCTTTAATAAGTGGTAATTTGCAAGTTTTGCAAACATCCTGCCTGATAATAGCTTAAATTAGTTGTAACTTACAACCTGTCATGACTAAAACAAGCACTAAGATCTGATTTTAATGAAACTAGGTCTATTGATGTCTCCTTGTGTTGTGGTGCACAAATTTAGAGAGAGTATTTATTCACTTTTGTTATTGGTTTAATGTTTTGTGTTCTGAATATTAATTCAAAGCGGAAAACTGTGATGTGCACAATTCGCAGAATCCACGAAACTTATATCTGTTTATTGGCTTGGTCTACTATTGCCAGATGTGATTTTATATGTGTGTACTTCCCAGGGAGCCCAAGACAAGCATCAGCATCATCATCATCATCATCATCATCATCATCATCATCACTGTTTAAAAATGCTTCAATCCCTTGCCTACAATTCAGTTAAAAATAACTGCAAATTGTTCTTTGAAACTATTCTATAAACAAACGACTAGTTCAAGGCTGAAGATCATTAAAATTGACGATATATAAAAAATATATCATCTTTGATATCACATGTTATGTTAAACAATTATGAAATAACTTTTAAATAATATAAAAACATTTGATAAACTGATATGTGCATCAACAATACGAAAAAAAAGATTATGCATGTCAATAACAATTATAAAATCAGAAATATTTATATCACAGAACCTTACAATGTTATTCAATTGCATCAAGGTAGGGTTTAGGGTAGTGATAGGCACCTCACAGCTCTGGTGGCTAGGGGAGAGGAAATGAAACAATACAAATATTCCAGATTTGTTCTTTTGTTAAAAGGTATCTAAAGATGGTGCTGTGTTATTAATCTTGTCTCATCAGCCTAAATGTTTAACATACACATATGTATGCACTTGGCAGAACAAAGAAAGTTTGTTTCAGACTTTAATGTTTTGTCCAATACAGGCATCAATTTCTAAGGGTTCATGGATGTGTAAACTAATTTTCTAAAGTCGTGAGAAATAGTATTTCTTCACAATTAAGACAGACATTTGATAAACTGTTATCATCATATAGCAGCTGGCACTTTGACAAAAGGTGGTTAACCCAAAATCAAGGAACTGAGTTAAAAAAATCATGAAAGCTTCAGAAGAAAATCACCTACAGAACATATTATTGCTTTGGTTGGTGGCCTAGAAATGGTCAAGTCAGGACCAATAAACCAGTGGTTGATATGATGTGGCATTACGTAAGTGTGATATAAAGAGTGAAAGTGACATGGTAGGTGATAAATGCTCCCACCTTAACAGAGTGTAAAAATGCAGGCAATAGCCTTCCTTCTTCAACTGAAAATTAAGTAGACTTAAGACACACCTACCTTTGAAAAGTTACAGAATTTGAATACAGAGCTGATGACATCCAGGCGTAATTAAGTTGTCAGTCTGTACAAACATGGCACATTCGGTGACATCATTTGACGTACAGCAATAATTTAGAGAACCTTTTATGTCTAATCATCCCAACTCTCGATACAAAGGACATTAGTATTAAACTGCACCAGTAATGTTACCTTCTGTAGGTTCCATCCCGCTGCCAGGCCAGACCCATCGTGCTCAATTCTGAATTAGACAGACATAGACAATTCTTTATTACCCTAAAAGGAATTCGTTTTGGATCATAATATTCATTTTGGATCAAAATAAGAACAAGGTGGACTCAGAGAGTGAGTGAGTGAGTCAGGTTTAACACAGCCTTAAATGGTGCATCAGTGATCAGCTTGATGGGTAAATAAGTGAGTGAGTCAGTTTAGTTTTACGCCGCTTTTAGCAATATTCCAGCAATATCACGGCAGACACCGGGAATGGGCTTCACACACTGTACCCATGTGGGGAATCGAACCTGGGTTTTCGGTGTGATGAGTGAACGCTTTAACCCCTAGGCTACACACACCACTTCCCCAATGGGCAAATGACAAAAGTGAAGCAGATTATCAAACTATTTAGAGCAAATGATATTGTCGAGATTTTGCTTTTAGATTTCAATTACCTAGGTTTGTTAACTTCGTAAATAAAAGAACCACAGTAAAAACTGAATGTTTTCTGATTAAAAACCAAAAATGTTCTTCAAAAGAATCTTGATACAAGGGCTCCTGAACCCCCAAAATTCCTGGATCCGCCCATGCCCACACCATCTCAGTCAGCTAATCACTCTCACTCACTCACTCACTGACTCATTAACCCACCCACAAATTCATTCACTCACTCTATCATCCAGTCAACCACCCACAAACTCTATTCAAGGTATTATCAGGCACAACTAGCTTTTCATGAGACAATACTCTAATTCCTTTAAAGTAAATAATAACACTGACAGTGTTTACAACATTACCTGATTCGTTTAATTTCTCCAATATCTTTGATCCTGAACTTGAAATGGTCTTCACTGTTCCTCTCAAAGCGTTTCTTGTTCTTGTCATCAGGGAGATGCAACTTGGGACTCATGCCAGACTTGCCAAATAGCGTCAAGTAAACCTTGGCATCCGTTCCTGCCATCTTCTTGTGTCCAGTTATCACAGTTATCTCCAGTTCTGTAAAGTTGAGAACATTGTCAATCAAATATACCATTTTAGCATCTGGTCCAAACAATTACATCATTTAAAAGACAAAATATTATGGATGTCAACTTCTTCTCTATTCTGGGCTATTCCTTGCCCCTTTGAACACCTGTAGATCATGTGATGATCGTCCAGAAGATGAATTGTGCTTCAGCGTGATGTTTACAAGCCATATATTAAATTACAATATGTGTCCGGTTTGAAGGAGACAAAACAAACCTGCATACCTCGCTCAACCTTCTCCTTTAGTGAGGCCTCAATGTCTCTCTTGATTCGGAAGTCGGCATGGTGCAGGGACAGCCAGTTGTTGCACACAAACATCCAGGACTGGTCAGTCAGCATGTTGGTGACCACTATGTACTCCAGGTACCATGCATGCTTTTTCTCCAGGCCATCATGCTGGACACACAAAACAAGTAATGTCAGATTATAGGTAAATACTAGCAGTGTCACAGTGTTAGATTATAGGTAAATACTAGCAGTGTCACAGTGTTAGATTATAGGTAAATACTAGCAGTGTCACAGTGTCAGATTATAGGTAAATACTAGCAGTGTCACAGTGTCAGATTATAGGTAAATACTAGCAGTGTCACAGTGTCAGATTATAGGTAAATACTAGCAGTGTCACAGTGTCAGATTATAGGTAAATACTAGCAGTGTGTCAGATTATATAGATAAATACTAGCAGTGTCACAGTGTCAGATTATAGGTAAATACTAGCAGTGTCACAGTGTTAGATAATAGGTACATACTAGCAGTGTCAGATTATAGGTAAATACTAGCAGCGTCAGATTATAGGTAAATACTAGCAGTGTCTTACTGTTAGATTATAGGTAAATACTAGCAGTGTCAGATTATAAATAAACACTAGCAGTGTTATAGTGTCAGATTATAGGTAAATACTAGCAGTGTCACAGTGTCAGATTACAGGTGAACACTAGCAGTGTCACAGAGTCAGATTATAGGTGAATAAAAGCAGTGTCAAATTACAGATGAACACAAGCAGTGTCACAGAGTCAGACTACAGATAAAAACTAGCAGTGTCACAATGTCAGAATATAGGTAAACTCTAGCAGTGTCACAGTCAGATGTCAGATCATATACAAATATTCATATTTATCAATATTATTAACAACATTTTTGGAAAGGGCCTAAACATCATGTTGCAAGACCATGATTATGTGTAGGATATAACATGACCCGCGGGCATTATTGAAAAGTAAGCCCGCTTCCCACAGGAAATGGGCTTACTTTTCAAAAATGCCCACAGGTCATGTTATATCCAACTTATAATATACACTGACCGAAGATATAATTTCAATATTTGGTATTTACTGTTGAAATCAACTGGGATGAGACTGGCAGCAGACACCTTGCCTTGCACGTGCAATGCACATGCTCTGCACGCGCTACCCGTGTCCTGCACGTGCGCTGCCCGCACTACACGTCTTGTGAGGAACACACGGTTCATGCTGACAAACAATCTTATTCTTCACAGCGATCCTTCTTATCCTGGTGGATAAAACCGCCAAGCTAGTAAGCGAAGAGTTGCAGGTTTGAAACCAGATATCGGCACTATATGTTGGAAGTTTTCAATAATGTCATATTTTACGATGGCATTCAGTGATAGCAAGACAAAGTTATATCAATCTTAAAAACAAGAAATATTGAAGTAATATCTCGGGGCAGAGGGACAATATTGAAGTAATATCCTGGGGTAGAGGGACAATATTGAAGTAATATCCTGGGGCAGAGGGACAATATTGAAGTAATATCCTGGGGCAGAGGGACAATATTGAAGTAATATCCTGGGGTAGAGGGACAATATTGAAGTAATATCCTGGGGCAGAGGGACAATATTGAAGTAATATCCTGGGGCAGAGGGACAATATTGAAGTAATATCCTGGGGCAGAGGGACAATATTGAAGTAATATCCTGGGGCAGAGGGACAATATTGAAGTAATATCCTGGGGCAGAGGGACAATATTGAAGTAATATCCCGGGGTAGAGGGACAATATTGAAGTAATATCCTGGGGCAGAGGGACAATATTGAAGTAATATCCTGGGACAGAGGGACAATATTGAAGAAATATCCCGGGGTAGAGGGACAATATTGAAGTAATATCCTGGGGCAGAGGGACAATATTGAAGTAAATATCACGGGGTAGAGGGACAATATTTAAGTAATGCCCACTAATCGACGGGCCATTGGGATACGACTAGAAATACTGCCTTGTGAGAACAATAGTGACGTCACTGTCAGTTTATAATGAGTTCTAATAGCACAATCCAATAATAATCTTTTTGGAGTGTGTGAATATTCAGGATGGAATATTTTCTGAAAAGTCCTTATAAAACAACAGTTTATACAAGAATACAAATAAAAAGATATCATCAACATATATATTACCATTATCCATTTCAATTTTTCTTTTGGTTCTAAGGATCACAAGGATTTGGATAGCCTGTGAACACAGAATACAAAATAAGGGCTCCAGATACAACATCAGCCTCATTTTTCAATATATGAGTACTGAAAGACACATTTAGAAAAGTCTTGTTCAAAACTTGGCTGTTCATTCAGCTATCTTACCTCAATCGTAGATGTAGGTGAAAGGCTTTCCAGCTATCTTACCTCAATCATTGATGTAGGTGACCTTTGTAGAAGAATGTCTCCGTAGTGCCCCTCATAAAACAAAACATTGAAGACCCTCGACCTTTCTTCAACTGTGTGCAGCTGTATCGTCTCTTCCATGTAAACTTATATGTACCTGAAGATAGTAAAACAAAATAAAGTGCATGGTGAGGAATGTGTAAGTGCAGCCCAATGCTGCCTAGTTGAGTTGGTTGTGTATACCACAGAGTGTTGGCTTCATATGCTTCCATATGATACAGACATTTAGCCTTGGAAAAAAAATATGTACAGGTGTAAAAAAAAAATCTTGTGGTTCGATTACCCGGCCGACCCTTAAATTCTGGTGCCGACCCTATTTTTTTTACGAGGTAGGAATAAAATAAGCTCTCATATGCCATTGTTTTGTCCCGGCACCAACGGACATCGGTCATTTTGATGGAGATGGAGAAAGTCGACATGATGGCTGCAAGCTTGACTGAATAAACAATTACACATTGATAAATGTGTTTTTAGTTCGTACTTTACTTCTAAAAAAAAATTATAAAAATAATTCCTTCCTACCTACCTTAAATTTTAAAGAGATGTTATTGGAACCACAACATATTTTTTATTTGGCCTTTCATGCAGGTCCAATAATAAGGCCACTTATATAGCACTGAACTCCACACCGTACGGGCATGCTCTAAGCACATACAATATGACATTACTACAGCGGCTAACCCAAGCTGCCTATAAGGAGCTAGAGGGGTAATAGTCATATGACTTATCCTACCGGGTACCCATTTTCTGCTGGGTGAACAGAGGCAGTTTTGAACAAACTCACTTTCTGAGGATGAGACCACATGTGCCATGTGTGCTTTATTGTGGGGCAGGACAGAAGTCCTAGAAACTCTCAGGAGTCAAGCTGCCAAACACGGTCACCCATTCAAATATATAGCTGCACTACGCCTAACTGTGGTGTAAAATCACATTCACACAACAATACTGGCCAATGTTTGGTTTAACATTGCTTTCAACAATAACTACAATAACAGGCTACTGGATAACAAGAATGATCTCCAGAATAACTCTTATTATTACTTTATAGACCTACATTTGCACTTGTTCCTGCGTTTGCCTTTGCGCTGGTCACCACGACGATGCGGTATAAGATCTCTGCTGGTGCTGTTGGCTCTTCAACCTTCACCTTGACTCTAGGCGGGGGTGCAACATAGTTGATACGTGGCTTTCGAGGCTTCAAGGATCTTTTTGCTGGTCTCTGTCAAAAAAGCCTTTTGCCATAGAATGTAGATATGATTTGAAATAAAACCAGACATCCATAAACAAACAAGTTTTACATCACCCTTAAGAAATAATTTTGTAAAATCAGTTTTTTACACAGGTCTTTGTATTTCGTACATATTTTAACATAATTTTGTACAAATGCGATCCTAAAATTTCCAAACAAATTATCTCATCAATTAAAACATTTGTCTTTTTTCACCGCCTTGTGATCCAAATTTTAACTGAAAAACTAAACCATTGTTTCTGCTAGTGTGTATTGTGAAAACAATGTGGACTCTTGCAACAACCTAATCTGCCACCAGCAGAAAATACAAGAGTTAATTCACTAAAGCTTGTCTAACTAATCACTGGAAATCAATTTAATTAAGATATATGCAGTAACCACCATAAACTGAGATTGTTACTCACAGAATGAAGGAGATGTCTTTGATGTTCCTCCAAAGTGGAACACAGGTAGCAGAAATTATGTTGAGCTGTAAAAACAAACATAATCATCACTTTCTTAATGAGAATATTATCGCCCTCCTACTGACAAAGTTAATTTTGTAACATGTTTAACATGCTCACACATTCTGCAGACATATTCAATAGTGTCAATAGAATGTTCTTAGTATAGTGACCACCTAATTTTCAATACGGTAATTTCAAAATGTAACCTGGCTACCCCACCGCCCAAATGTAACCTGAGTGTGTGAGTTTTATGACTACTGACAATTCCCTCTACCTTTGGGGCTTTTTCAGCATGCCATCCATCTCAAGGATTTTCAGGACATTACAGCAACCAATCAAACATTAACATGAAGGATAGGGTAAGGGAGGTAACTCATATTAGAAATCAAAGCCAGTGACAGTCTTATGGACATGTGACATCCTTTCCATCAAAAACATTTGAAGGTTTCTTTTGGTATCAATCAATTTTTCAATACTGAATTTCTCGCAAAATGGATCATAAATCAAGGGAATGGCTGCCCTGTTGATTTGCAAACCCAAAATGGAGGCTGGTTTGGTACTTGCATCCTAAATGGCATCTTAGATGTAGTTAATAATAATAATAATGAGTGAATTTGTAACGCGCCAATCTCCACGCCAGCTGGTATGCTCATGGCGCTACAAGTAAAGTTATTTGGGCGAGAGTCTAGACAAAGTACTTCTTAAATAAAAACGTTTTGAGGAGAGTTTTGAAGGAGTGCAGGCTTGGGGCTGTTTTGAGATCTTCAGGCAGAGAATTCCATAGAACAGCTGATTGGTAGGCAAATGATCTGAATCCAAATCGTTTTAGTCTGTATCTGGGCACTGTGCACAGAATTTGGGACTGGGATCTGAGAGTTCTGGTTGGATTATACTGGCTTTCAAGTTCACACAAATAGGATGGCGCGATAGCGTTAAGGCACTGGTATACGAGTACAAGAACTTTAAACTCAATTCTAGCTGAGATGGACAGCCAGTGTAGGGATCGTAGAAGTGGCTGTATATGTGCAAACTTTGGAGCAAGACACACAATTCGAGCTGCAGTATTTTGTAGTTTTTTGTAACTTTGAAACAGATTCATGTGACACACCACACAGTAGGCTATTGCAATAGTCCAGACGTGAGAATATCAGTGTTCGTACTAATGCAGCGGCAGCTTCCTGGGATATAAGATGCCTTACTTTGCCGATGTTTCTTAAATGAAAATGGCATTTTCGACATAGCTCTTGTATATGACAATCCATACTCAATGTGGACTCTATCAAGACACCCAGATTCTTGACCACAGGTACAAATGGTATACTTTCGTGACACACAGACATGTGCGTATCCCCTTCTTTCGTCACCATTGCATCCGACCAATAAGCATAGCTTCTGTTTTATCTTGATTCAACTTTAATTTGTTTGTTGACATCCAGGATGCAATCTGGATGGTGCATGATTCTAATTTAGCCAGTGGTTGTCTATCATCAAGATTCAAACATTCTGACATCTGAGTATCGTCAGCATACATGTGGTGATCGACAGAATTATCATCAATCACATGGCCCAGTTGGGTGGTGTACAAAGTAAACAGATTGTGGATCCAATCAAACTGGCATATGGAAATCACAGGGTGGCATCCTGGGGTTTGTGTATGTTTACCAAAATGCTCGCCCAAGGATAACTGTTAATATAATGTAAAGTGAATACAACAAAATCTATGGACCTGTGGAAGTGATATTCTCGCTGGCCAGGCTGTTTGTTGACTGGGAAGCAAGTGACTGCATAGAACCAAATGAAGCAAACATCACACCTGGATCGTGCCAGGACACCTTCTCCCTGTCAGGTGCTGTGACTTGATATACCTGAGCTGAAAACATGCAGGATGTGGATCTAGTTTGACATGCAGTGATTCTACGCATAACAACATAATCAGGTGTTCTTTAACATACAATCGGTTTCTGAGGAAATACCGAAAAAGTACTTTGATTCTGGTTAAAATAACTAAATTGTTTGCAGATTTCCTGAAACCAAACGTGTAGTGAAATTGTTCAGAGAAATGGAAATTATGTTTTGAGTGAGTGTGTCAGTGAATGAGTGAGTGAGTATGGTTTAATGCCGCTTTTAGCAATATTTGTGCAATATCACGGCAGGGGATGAACTTCACACATGGTACCTATATGGAAATAGGGGTGGGTATTGCAGAGAATATTCATATTGCGATATATTGCGATGCGAAAGCATGTATTGCGATTTGCATTGCAATATATTGCATGAAGTATTTTTAAACAGAAAACTACTTATAATCGAGTTACTGCTTGATTTATAGAGCAAAAACACAACAAAATCACTATGCTTGATTAAGCTTTAATAACAAATTTTAATCATGATAAAATAAAAATGTGAATATTTGGCACAAATGAAACAAGGAAATATCCAAAGATTTCCGAGTGTTACAAACTTTTCCGAATGCATGTCAAAATACCGGTTTTTGATCAGCGTATCGCAATACGTATCGTTTTCATGTCTGAACCGGTAAATACCGGTAAACCGGTTATATTGCGCAGCCCTATATGGAAATCATTAGGCTACCCTACCATCCCTATTAGCTTTTGAAGTAGTGATTAATAAGTATCCTGTCTCTAACAACGAAAAACATAACTGGCGCCCGCTGCTCAGAATATTGAAGTGCTTGTAATTAATAATTAATCATTTAACTGTTTCATTCATATAACATATGTTATATTTGGGATTACACTTTCTTAGTAAAGTACAGATTCTAGTACTTTTGTTGGGTTGAGTCCCATCCGGTATTCAAACCCACACCCTCAGAGTCAGGCACCTAATCGCCAGCACACAAAGTCAGACGCCTAGACCAATTAACACTTATCAGTGGAAGCCGTGGTGGCTGAGCGGCCTAGGTGTCTGACTTTGTGTGCCTGCGATTAGGTGCCTGACTCTGAGGGTGTGGGTTTGAATTCCGGATGGGACTCAACCCAACGAAAGTACTAGAATCTGTACTTTACTAAGAAAGTGTAATCTCAAATATAACATGTGTTACATTTGACAAATTCCTAAATGGCATTGTGTATTTTATGTTTCATTCACACAGAAGAAATCATTTACTGGAATTGCATTTTAAACTAAGTATGTGCATTTAAAAGGGACCAGATAAGCTAGCTATATCCGTGTTAATTCATTACGCATTGAAAAATTTGTGTTGTACAACACGAATTGTGTACTTTTTATTCTTGTAATGCTATAACATCCATTTGAAAATGACCATCGAACAATGTATGTCAGTATAAGGATCTGACACTGAGCTGACACTGAGTAAAGTTGGTTTTGATTAGGTTAACATAAGGGTAGTAATATCAGATATTAATTATATACTTAGAGTGAGTAAAATTGAAATATAATTTTAATGATATTAGCATTTGTTAAGCTATATCCGTTGCAGGAATTCTGCATGTTTCATTATAAGTTTGGCAACCTGTCATCTATTTTTTCAATTTGAAATGTATGATAAGCATTAAGAATTCTGCATGTTTGAATAATAGCACTTTTATGGTATCATCATCAATGCTCATTTTAATGAAGGGGGGTAATTGATAGTGTGCTAGTGGTTTGTATATTAAATTACACTCTTGATAATTAAAAAATAGAAATGTCAAACAAAAACTTTGTGAAAGTGAATAATAGTTTTCTTGAACATTTTGAACATCCATCAGACATCCAATACGTGTGTGTATTTAATCATGGTTATGGAAAAAGACTTAAGGAAATGAGTTTTACCCAAAAAGATGAATAATACCGCATTCTCATCTATTTCACTGATGCTGGCTGAACAATGTAGACAGGATCAAGCCAAGGGCACAGACATCATCGTGATTTCATTTATGTACTAATCTGATATATAAATTCCTTCGTGAAAGCCTGAGACACATCAATGGACAAAACGACAAACAAAACACTCAACTATGAACCAAAGTTAAAGAGTGAACATGACAGAACGAAAACATTTTCATTCCAATCTAAGTTAACATGACGACGTGTACCTGAAGCCGGTCTGCTGTCTGTGTGCCAATGTTCAGTTCCGTACTCTAGACATGGGTCCAATCTCATCATTGACGATTTAATCCTCCTGATATTGTTCGATGTATTTCGACACAGGTTTTGCAACCCGTCACCGTACAGTTTAGTGTTGATTGGCCCAGCCCATGTCGCGTGCAGATCATCGCTCGATCCTTCTCTCACCATCATGTATTGAGGCTTTCTCTTCCATATCTCTGACGCCATGTTTACTGAGCTTCTGACAGAGAGTACAGCACTTGTAACAAGTTGTATTATTCAAATTGTCTTCAGAAGCGACGAGCGAGCACCTTGCTGCCTATTTTCACACCATGATGTTTACTTCCGTTTCCTAGGTACAACAGTTCCTTGTTATGATACACGCGAGTTTACTGAAAGAGTTATCTCCCTTGTTAAAAAATATATATTCGTTGTAAGTGTACTGTAAGTCACAATAAAGCATAGAAGGTTCTCGCTCTAAAAACAATACGCACACTTGTTTACTCTCCCTGATTGATTCGGAATTTCTTGAATTGTATTCTTTATCAATCTGTAAAGTGAATGTTTCTAAACTTAGAAAGACAATATCATCTTTGAAGCATGACCCGTGAAGATCCGGCTTTGAATTAATCTTCAGTAACCCATGCTTGTCGTAAGAGGCGACTAACAGGATCGGGTGGTCAGTCTCACTGACTTGGTTGACCCACATGTCATCGTATCCCAATTGCGTATATCGATACTCTTGCTGTTGATCACTGGATTGGCTGGTCCAGACTCGATTATTTACATAATCGCATGTAGTTGGAATATTGCTGAGTGCGTCGTAAAACTAAACTCACTCACTCACTAAGAAGCATGATATACCAGTTATTTCACCATAGAGGTCCCTTTTTAAAAGCAGATTTCTGAGGGAACAGAACCTGTTCATACTCACCTGAATAACTAACCTCATTTGTTGATCCAACCTTACATTAAAGAAATCCCTGGTGGTTAAAGTTTGGCTACTCCAAAGACCCGGGTTCGAATCCCCACATGGGTACAACAACTAACCTCATTTGTTGCTGGAATATTGATCCAAACCAAACTCAGTCAGTCAGTCAGTTAAAGAAATATTTTCACAGACATGACATACTCATGTTACCAGTGGGTCTTTTAAACAAAGACGTGTACTAGGGGGGGTCAACAATTTTGTACATAAGAATATTTAAAAAATATGCTTAAAACTTATGGGAAGGGGGAGGGAGTAATTGATATTGTACATGGTATGCAAGGGGTACGTAAATCTTAGGGGCGTTGGTCATTCACATTGTACATGCTTCTGCCTAAAAAATCATCATCACCCCCAAGCCATAAATTATGAACGGTCCCAAGTAATACTATTTCTGTACCTTAAATGTACTTTAGGCTATACCGGAATAAATCGTCATTGTCATAATAATACTAAAAGCTGCGAAAACCCCATCTCACTCTCCCTGTCCGTCTTTGTCAATATCAATCTATAACGTATTCGTGATAACGATCGGGTGTCATTGCGTAGATCGATGCTCATGCTGTTGATCACTGGATTGTCTGGTCTAGACTCGATTGTTAACAGACCGCCGCCATATAGCTGGAATACTGCTGAGTGCGGCGTAAAACTAAACTCACTCACTCACTCACGATCGGGTATCAGTTTTGCCATTTATTTGAGTGTACGAGTGTCAATTTTGACATATGTTCGTGTATATGGGTATCAGCTTGGTCATCTGCCCATGTATAAAGATAAGTTTCCAAGGTTACATGCCTTCAAACTTAATTACAGTATAGTACCTTTCCAATTCTTTGAAAAGTTCCAGTATGTTAGGTGTTATGTTATAGATGAAGCACATTTACACTCTGATAACATTATTTACTCGTACTGGCATGTGGGCATGTATATTAACGCCATGCCAAACGTGGACTGTCAAAACAGCTTTGAAAGCCTGGTTTGGATACTCCTCAGGAAGTTGAGAATGCTGGATGTTAACATTATTGAACCAATATAATATTAACCAATATAACATGATATTCATGCATGAAATATCCGTCAATTCGTTGTACTCGTTCTTTTCCATTATTTTTTTAATGACCAAACAAACGAACTTGTTTTCGCAACCTGTTTGGAAATATGTAGTCAGAAATGAGCATGTAATTATTTTAAAACTCAAAATGAACACCAGCTGCAGCTGCTCGATAGTGCACATTGTCAAACAAAAGCATGTCAGTTCTAACGCCGTTTTCCCACCAGACATCTGTTGCGACTCATGAAACGTCAAGATCAATGCATGTTCCGTTTCTGAATACAGTCCAGAATTTATCATTGATCTTGTTTGAAACATCTGTTACACCTTCATGCGTGCACCTATTTCCTAAAATCATTTCATCCGACACAGAACACAGAAAATCATCATATCATGAAGATATATTTCATTTCGGCATGAGACGTAGGCCTAGAAAATTAAGCAAATTACTAATAATATGTGTTACAGGAGCTCTTGTTTTATTTTTTGGACCTTTTTGCTTCCAAGTCCCGAGTCCACAAACCCAGGGCATAGATCGCCGAGTACTGCACGAGCGATATCAGGTAGGTCTACGTTTTGTGTATTGATTGTATGACTATTGTGTATTGGTTAGCCAGTTGTATGGAGTTGATGACAAGGTTTAGTGGACTTTGCCTAGTCACGTTTTTATCAGCAAGCGTGTATACGTTGAGAAGTCTTTTTAAATATGTTTTATCAATAAGACAGATGACTAATACACAAATGTTTATCGAAAATCATTTTTGGGAGTTGTCTATTTAAACTGTTAGTGTTGTCTTATTGGAGTACTGCGATATTTTTATTAAATAAATGTTTATTTGGATAAATGTTAACCGTTATTTTAAACATAACGGTACTATTAATAACGAGGTCAATCCGTCAATTGTATACATTTGAACGTTAACGTATGATGTCATATGATACAATGAACTTCATCATGTCTCCCGTTTAACGAGTACAACGCTCTGTTGTATGATAATAATAATTATCTGAGTGAAAGAATATAACACCCATCTATCTCAACTACGGTTGCTTGTTTTATCCCGCTATTTCTAAACAAATATACCTCTTTTCTAAGTTGGGTTATGTATCAATATTAACGTATTGTCACTGCCCAAGATTACCCATTGATAAAACTATCCCATACTACCTCTTCATAACACTATCTAATACTTCTTCATAACACTGTCCCAGATAACCTATTCATAGTTGTATCCAATACTACGAATAAATAATGATATCCCAGATCTTCTATTCATAATTCCACCCTGATTTAAAGTTCATAAACATATCGGGGCGGTGGGTAGCCTAGTGGATAAAGCGTCGCTCGTCACGCCGAAGACCCAGGTTTGATTCCCCACATGGTTACAATGTGTGAAGCCCAATTTCTGGTGTTCCCCGCCGTGATATTGCCGGAATATTGCTAAAAAAGCGGCGTAAAACTAAACTCACTCACTCTCAAACATATCCCGCATTGTCGATACTGTCCAAGACTACCTATTCATAAACTACCCCAGAATATCTATTCATAATTCTACCTGATGCTATCGATTGATACTTCTTCCTCAAACTACCCAAAACTACTATCTCAGAATACCCGTTCAGGATGCTAAACTACACTCTCAGTTCATAACACTGCCCCATACTTACTATTTTTCTAATGTCCCAGGGCACCTATTCACAATACTACCCCAGAATGCCACTACATCATACTTGCCCCGGCTACCTATTCGTAATACTGTCCCAGACTTCGAAATATAAGAACCGCAGAACCCCGCTGACATAATATCGGAAAGGGATATTAATTTGTTTGAAACTCGCAATTGTTTAACTGACAGTCGCTGCAAATTAATATGGACAGGTACCATGCTTTTCCGGACCCCAGTTATTCGAATTCCTCTCTTTTCTGGTCAGTCATTATGTAATTCTCGATTATTATCATTTGGTTTCATACCCATGAAGAACTGATCTTCAGTAACCCATACTTGTCGTAAGAGGCGACTAACGGGATCGGGGGTCAGGCTCGCTAACGTGGTTGACATTATGTCATCGTATCTCAGTTGCGTAGATAAATGCTCATGCTGTTGATCACTGGCTTATCTGATCCAGTCTCGATTCTTTGCAGACCGCCGCCATATAGCTGGAATATTCCTGAGTGCGGCGTAAAACTAAACTCACTGCTACTACATTTGGTACATGCAGATGTTTACTGTATAACTATTTTAATCATAAATATAACGGCTTACTTAATTATTTAGTCATTATGATTTTTGCATTCTTGAACATTTTATCTTTTTCAGAAAAACAAATTCATTGGTCCATGTGACGAGGAAGTTAAGCTGTGTGGCAAAGACAGTATAAAAGAGGGTGCCGAAGAAAGAGGTGAGGGTGGTGATGAAGGGGGAAGCATCGACTCAAGACCACTGGCTGTGTTCAAAGATGGCGTAATCGGCAACTACGAAACATTTGACCCCGCCAACCGTACTGGTCCAGGTATGCGAATGAATGAATGAATGAATGAATGAATGAACGAACGAATGAACGAACGAACGAACGAACGAACGAACGAATGAATGAATGAATACCGTCGCCATATAGCTGGAATAGTGTTGAGTGCGACATCAAACAAAACCCACCCAAATCATTTCCTACAACAATGTGTGCAATTATGTTAATACATGTGAATGGCGTATGTTGTTGTTGCATGTACGTATATGCTTATGTTTTTCTTCAATGTTCGACTCCTGCAGGCGAATACGGGGAGCCAGTCATCACCAAAGATGAAGAGAAGATAGAGGCTGAGATGTCGGCAAGAGAGTTTGGGTTTAACCTGGTCAATAGTGATAAGATAGCCTTGGACAGAGCACTACCAGACATCCGCCTGAAAGAGTGAGTATATGTAAGCCAAGTTCTTTCTAAGATTCGGCTTGATGGCTATTTTCACTTGAAAAAATAACCCTACTATGAAATGTTGCAACCTTTTAATGACCAATTGTATTAATTATGTCCTGCCCCGCGAAGAAAGTGAGTGCAAAATATGGCTCCATACCAAAACTTGATTCATGTGTCTTGAGCTTTCACGTTAAATTTTAAATGTTGACAGAAGTTTATCCTTGCTGAAAATTCTGCCCACTTTACCGTAGTGTTCAAGAAGAGGTTCAATTTACTTTTAGACTGTATCTAAACGTATTAAAAATTACGTAACGTTTTTATTAGAGAATTGTTTATCTTTTAGTAGAGATTTGTTATGGCTATGGAACTTGTCTTTGCCCTTTTTAATATCCCAGTACGTTACAGTTTCAATGTTATACTAACTCATTCGAATCACCACTTACCTCTGATGATCTTCAACGTGGTACGACCCGTGAAGATCCGGGGTACAATAGGTCTTCAGCAACCCATGTGCTTGCCATAAAAGGCGACTATGCTTGTCGTAAGAGGCGACTAACGGGATCAGGTGGTCAGTTTCGCGGACTTGGTTGACACATGTCATCAGTTCCCAATTGCGCAGATCGATGCTCATGCTGTTGATCACTGGATTGTCTGGCCCAGACTCGATTACTTATAGCCATATAGCTGGGATATTGCTGAGTGCGGCGTAAAACTAAACTCACTCACTCACTCAACGTGGAACATTTGTTATGCCATGTCATCCGATGTCATGCCATTCAGGAACAAGGCTTATGAATAACTTCAATAAATGCTACATGGCCTTAACCGCTTAATGTGAACCGTTATATGTGAGCGAGTGAATAACATTTTATGCCGCTCTTAGCAATCACTAATAAGGTTTAGACATTTCACCCACGTGGGTAATCGAATCTTCTTCAGACGAGCGAATGTTTTTTTTAATGTTTTTTTTGACTATGCTACTCACATCCTTACTCGATCCATGAAGACGTCTTTCACTTTTAGCATAGATTGCAAGAGAAACATTTGTGATAGATGAATGAGTTATTTCCACCCTTCTATCTCCCAGATGCAGATACTGGCACTACCCTGAGAACCTCCCCACCGCCAGCGTCATCATCGTCTTTCACAACGAGGGCTGGTCAACCCTGCTTCGGACAGTCCACAGCGTCATCAACACCTCACCCACCCGGCTTCTGAAGGAAGTGATACTCGTCGACGACGACAGTGACAAAGGTAACTCCGTTGACGGATCTACGTTGAGACATTTACAACCTCAGAGACTCCAAACGAACGAGAGACTCCTACCAGAAGGGGAGCTACCAGAAGGGGAGTGAGAGTGAGGTTAACGCCGCTTAGTTTTTGTGGCTTTTAGCGAATAGAGTAGTTGATCAGTAGGGCTTCTTTGTTGTACAGTGAATGAGTGAGTGAGTTGGGTTTAACGCCGTTGTGTTTTATGTGGCTTTTAGCAATATTCATCAGGGCTAAAGAAACCACAATTCTGCTTCGAGCATTATATCCATGTTGGGAATCGAAGCCGATCTTGGACGTGACGAGCCAACAGGTTACCCCCTGTAGGCTACCCTTACTGCTTTAGATGAAGAAGAAGTAGATGAGGAAGAGTGTGCACATCTGTGTGTCATAGTCTTCCGTCAGCGTGGACCATTGCTTCTCAAACTGTCAAACAGTGGTAGTTCTGGTCAATTTCTAAATATTGTTGAAATATTGGATTGCGGCGTAATGCAATAGTTGTTCATCTTCGCCCACAGAGCACCTGAAGCAGCAGCTGGACCTGTACGTCAAGCGGTTTGAGGGCCTGGTGAAGCTGTACAGGAACGACGAGAGGGAAGGCCTCATCAGGAGCAGGACCAAGGGGGCGCTGCTAGCTACTGGTGACGTCATACTCTTCCTCGACGCTCACTGCGAGTGCAACAAGAACTGGCTACCTCCTTTACTATCAAGGATAGCCCATGACCGGTAAGAGCCGACATGACAGGAGATAACTTGAAATCAATGAAATTGTTCCAAGGGTTGATAAAATAACTTTTAGAATGACCATAGTTCACTATATCGTCAGTATATGTCCTGGTTCAATGCTTTGCTAAATCCTCTTTTAAATCAAAATGCAACAAAACATTATGTTCTTGGATTGTTCACGGTGAAATTGTATGCATCTTCCGGACACAGTAGTAGCAACTTCTTATAGCAAGCATATTGGACAGAAGGATAGATGGTTGGATTTATGAAAGGACGGACGGAAGGATGGATGACGGGTGGATGGATCTATGGAAGGATGGATGGACGGACGAATGGGTGGATGGATGGAAGAACGGGCGGAAGGATGGATGATGGATGGACGGAAGAATGGGTGGGGGTGGGTGGATGATGGACAGAAGAAAGGGTGGGTGGGTGGATGGATGATGGATTGACGGACGGAAGGATGGATGACGGGTGGATGGATCTATGGAAGGATGGATGGACGGACGAATGGGTGGATGGATGGAAGAACGGGCGGAAGGATGGATGATGGATGAACGGAAGAATGGGTTGGATGATGGATGGACGGAAGAATCGATGGGTGGGTGGGTGGATGATGGATGGACGGAAGGATGGATTGATGATGAACGGAAGGATGGATGGATAGCATTGTGAACCTGTCTAATCTTCAGTTCGTGACCAACAAGTCAATATGGGTTATGTAACCTAAACTTGTTACTTCTAGAACTATTATGGCTGTTCCTATAATCGATGGCATCGACTGGACTAAGTACACGTACAGATCTAATTACTACGGCGTTCACTACCGAGGGATATTCGAGTGGTCATTGTTCTACAAGGAAAGCCTTTTACCTGGCCAGGAAGAGGGACGAAGAAACTACAAGAGCGAACCTTACAGGTGCAACCCATTCCAATACACGCACCATTGAGTCGAAAATACGTTTGTCTCGAAGTAAAAGTTTGGTCTGTGCGTATTCCGTATTTAGTCATCATTTTGCGGTTGTATCGAACCAGTAATTATGTAGGTCCTTTCAACTACGACACTAAGGTATTTCAGTGTACGAGCATTTATACGAAAACAGGGTAATACATTTTTTCTTATGAAGGCAGTGATATGTTTAGGCTATTTATATTTTTTGTAATTAGGCTCCTAATAATATAGATGGATGGTAATTCATAACTGTTTTCACTATACGTGTTTTCTAATTTGTTTTTTCCCCGAAACATATCAAATTTTACCTGTGATTTGTTGAAATTGGCGTTAAAACTGGTTGGGTTATGTTAGCTAATTGATTACCTTTTAAAGGAAAACAAGCTCCTCGTTTCATGACCTCCCCTTTTTATCACAAGATCTCCTACACATGCTGGAGGCCTGTTTGCCATGGACCGGAAGTTCTTCTTTGAATTAGGTGCCTACGATCCTGGTCTTGAAATCTGGGGCGGGGAGAACTTTGAACTCTCCTTCAAGGTAACGATTTCAGACTTTCTCAAACGATTGTCGTGAATATGCGTCAAAGCTGGATAATACAATTAACCGTTAGAAAGTATAATTGTGTTGACGGGTTAATAAGTGTCACATTCATATATCTACTATGAACTCGCCACTGAGTTGGTTGACACATGTCATCGTATCCCAATTGCGTACACGCAAGAACGATGCTCATGGTGTTGATCACTGGATTGTGTGGTCCAGACTCGATTATTTACAGATCGCCGCCATATAGCTGGGATATTGCTGAGTGCCGCGTTAAAACACCAAACCAACCAATCGTCACTTAGTATAATGGATTAGAACATTTAGAGAAGCATCACACATGTAACAAATGGCCCGGCTTTTCGGCGAATATAATGGCACTACCATTGATTCCTGATTCTTCCACAGATCTGGCAGTGTGGAGGCAGTATCGAGTGGGTGCCATGTTCCAGGATAGGACACATCTATAAGCAATACACAATAGACAGAAAGATTTCATTGTCGTACAGGATCCCCGTTACCAAGATGGTAATATCTCCATCTGCCGTCTCCTCATCTGTGTTACTTCTTGTTTGTTGTTTAACGCCGCACTCAGCAATATTCCAGCTATATGGCGGTTGTCTGTAAATAATTGTGTCTGTGCCGAACAATCAAGTGATCAACATCAACGGGCATTAGGATACGATGACATGTGTCAAACACGTCAGCGAGTCTGACCACCCGATCGCGTTAGTCGCCTCTTACGACAAGCATGGGTCGTTGAAGACCAATTCTAACCCGGATCTTCCCGGAAGAGGGAATGATCTAAGCGGTCGACATTGGTTCTGTATAGGATTATTTGACAGACTAGTCAGATGCTCGTCAGCTTACAATGGGTTAAGTATTGGAGTTGCATATGGTAGTTTAAAAACTAAATAAAGTTATTAAGCTATAAAATATTTTGGAAATTAATCAGATAAACCTAGAATTATGATCAGCAGAATGTAGAGCCAACTTCAAGCAGAGCATACGTCACGCCGAAGACGCGGGTTAGATTCCCCCATGGTTGCAATATTTGAAGCCCATTTCTGGTGTCCCCCGCCCTGATATTACAGGAATATTGTTAAAAGCACTCATTCACTCACTCACTCACTGATTTACAGGAATATTGCTAAAGCACTCACTCACTCACTCACTCACTCACTCACTCACTCAAGCAGAGCACAATTGAGTAACAAAGTCTCTGTTGACTGTGATTATATATGAATAATTCTTGCTCTATATGTTCTTGTAATTGCCAGAACTATATGCGTGTGGTGGAAGTTTGGTTTGACGAGGAACACAAGGAACACTTCTATAACCTGGAACCATGGTTACGAGGGACGCCACTGAAGAATCTACAGCCGCAGCTGGAGTTCCGGCGCAAACACAACTGCAAAAGTTTCAAGTGGTTCATGGACAACGTGGCATTTGAACTTCTTGAACAGTTTCCGCCTCCTCCCAAAAATGTGGAATGGGGCCAGGTAGGGCCTAGTATTTGTGTTTGTTTGCAATATTCCAGCTCTGTGGTGCCGGTCTGTACATAGTCGAGTATGGACCAGATAATCCAGTGATGTACAGTCAAGATATGGCTTGAATATTCCTGAGGTACCACACAATATTCCCTTCTCAGACAAATATATCTGGTTTATCCTTAATTCAATCCTGGACGTTAATCACAGTACATAACACATCAGCATTTGGGCTACATACATTAAATTCATACCTTTCTAAAACAAAAAAACTTGACAAATGAAATGTTCCAACATTATGAGCATGGATCTATGCCACTGGGATATGATGACATGTGTCAACGAAGTAGGGAGCCTGATGCCGTTAGTCACCCCATATGAAAATCAATGGTTTAAGAGCAGTTTGGATATGCAATTATATTAAATATCAAATAATCCTTTTCTGGAGGGGCGGAGAGATAGTCTTGTGGTTAAATCGTTCGATCGTCACGAAGCCACGGGTTTCATTATCCAGATTGGTACAATATGTGAAGCCTGTTTCTGGTGTTCCCCGCCGTGATATTGCGAGAATATTGCTAAAAGCGGCTTAAAAGCGTACTCACTCACTAGCTGGAAAAATATTTTCTTATTTTGAAGACGAAAGCGATAAGACTGACAGTTTTGTAGTACTTTAAGATTAACTTACTTGTAGCGGAAGGGGCAGGATTCTGATATTCTATGATATTTATGTTTTGTTTTTTTTATCTTAAACATCAATGATGAATGTTTGAAATTTCCAACATTTGATCCGCGTGAGCTTTGATGTGGAGCACATTCGTAGTTAACAGACGTTAATTACTGTTCATTGCTATCTGCCAGATTCGAACCATGGTACTCTGACCAGTGTTGGACACAAGTCAGAGAAGGGAAGTTAATGCTGATTCCTTGTGCCTCTCGACCATATAAGGAAGCACAGGTAAGTTTATAGGTATTTTATAGTAATGATTTTTAGACTTAGCGAGTGAACTTGATTCGACGACCTGTCAACTTGATGTAGGAGCCAATTTTCTTCATCATATCTTTGCTTCTTTGCTTTGAAGCGTTCCTTTTTGTTTCATTTGTTGCGTTATGCCGCACTCAGCATTTGTCCAGCTGTATCACGTGGCCATGGTGGTAATGAGTGTGTGAGTTTAGTTTTACGCCGCTTTTAGCAATACTAAAGCAATGTCACGGCGGTGGACACCAGAAATGGGCTTCACACATTGTACTCATTTGTGGAATTGAACCCAGGTCTTCGGCGTGACAACCGACCGCTTTAACCACTAGGCTACCCCACTGCCCCAAGTATGTGATGAAGGTTGGACCAGAGAAACAAATGGTTGTCAAGTGTCGCGTTCCACGCCATACGCACTGACATGCAATCAGCCAGTTCAACGAGTTTATTTATTTATCTGTCCAGATTTGTAAAATGAGAGACAACAGTAAATTCACAAATATTTTACAAAATACCCAAAATCCTTTAAAAGGAAATTACTTTTTAATAGTCGAAAACTTGGAGCTCTACGACAATTATCCAAAATGTGTAAAAGCATTATGTCACTGTCTAGCACAAACAACATCTTTCACAGTTGAACAGTGTACTCTGCTATCTGTTCTCATTTTATTGTATAACTGTATATTGAGATGTATATCATGTAAATGTTGTACCCTCTAATAGCGGCCAGAGTATAATGTAAATGACTTCGATATATTTGTAGTTTTACCGACTAGATGTGCACGGTAGACTGACCCAGGGGGAGAGATGCCTGTTGCGTACAAAGGACAATACATACCCCCAGATATCCCGATGTCCCGAAAACCCCAAAGGATCCTGGCAATATATTAAGGTGAGGACGGATTTATATATACTATAGGTATATGTGATTCGTAATAGTTAGAGCATGACTGGGGGTAACGGAAATTCAAATACATCGACGTTGATTTCGAAAGAATGAGACCAATAGATTTCGTTTTGATGACAAATGTTTTTAACTGTTAGTAAGTAGAGTGAGTGTGCGTTCACACCGCTTTTAGCAATATTCCAGCAATATCACGGCGGGAGACACCAGAAATGGCCTTAACACATTGTACCCATGTGGGAATCAAACCCGGGTCTTTTGCGTGACGAGCGAACGGTATAACCATTAGGCTACCCCACCGCCCCATTAGTAATTAGATCAGACCGAGGAATATGGGCAATGAGTGGTAATATTTCACTCCAAGAAGGTCTTAAACGCACAAGAAAAGTTAAATGAATATATCTATGTTGATGTTAAGCTTTCTTGTAAAATGCTAAGTCAATTACACAATGAATGCACATGCATTTGAAAAAGTTGTTACACAATGCTTTTACAGAAATTGGCAATGTATATTTATTATTTAATATAGATTAGAAATATAACTCCTCAGCGTAGACATATACATTTGATTGACATGGATCAAGTGTACAGTAATCACTTCTCATTTAAATATACAAATAAGTAACACATATATTCCCTGCTAAGTTTATCCACAATCATGAATCTAAAAGCTATGGAAAGGAACAGAAGTGATTACTCTACACTATCCATCAGGGGTAGAATAGGTCTTCAGCAACCAATGCTTGCCACAAAAGGCGACTATGCTTGTCGTAAGAGGCGACTAACGGGATCGGGTGGTCAGGCTCGCTGACTTGGTTGACACATGTCATCGGTTCCCAATTGCGCAGATCGATGCTCATGCTGTTGATCACTGGATTGTCTGGTCCAGACTCGATTATTTATAGACCGCCGCCATATAGCTGGAATATTGCTGAGTGCGGCGTAAAACTAAACTCACTCACTCACTTTTATTTTGCACCTCAAAACTCCAGTTAAATAAAGGCAACCTGTAAAATTCTTGTCTATGGAAACCAAACATATGGTTGATAGCATGAACGACACTTATTTGTATGGTTATTGCAAGGATCTTTTCTGTTTCAGGATACACAACAAATCAGACACAACGCGATACATATGTGCGTCCAGTTCGACGAAAGGACAAATTTTCTGTTCTTCGGGAAATGTGATATCAATTCTAACGACCAGAAATGGATATTCAAGCAGATATACATGTGGATGTGATGATACCCCAGCTTAGAGCTGATGAAAAAGACAATAGTTTAAACTGATCAAAATTCCACATGCAAAAGGTACAAAAATGCCTCCTGTTTCTATGGGAATGCATAAAATCCGCCTTTTATCACCCATCATCAAATTACAGAGTCTATTTCATCTGAAAATACAGTCATCTGAAGAGATCCATCTCAACTCATCTTAAAGATTTCGCTGCGCGGGTTCAACCAGGAATAACTGAGGTGTTGTTGCAGGATCTGGCACAGTGTGCATGTATGACGTGAATAAGAACAGGGCTCTACCGTAATTTCTGTTATTCCAGAATGTGTGCATGAAGTTCAACCCTTGTCAATAAAAATCAGTGTTTCGATGGCATCCTATCATATTGAATCATAATTTATTATTACTGTTCCATTGCAGAAAGAATACATAATAAATACATTTATTATAATAAATACACGCACCGTATTTCCTCTAATAAGCGCCGGGGTTAAGCAGCGTTATAAGAAATAAGCGCCAGGCCTCTAATAAGTGCCGGGTACGTTTTTTAATAAATGTATTCTTCCTTGATCCAAAAATATATATATTAAGGAATTGTCCCTAACTTTGACGTAACGCTCACTAACAATTAATTACGGTACACACAGTAAGCGCAGTAAGCGTCGGGCCTTTGATAAACGCCGGGTCTGGAAGTCCGTTGAAAGAAATAGCGCCAGAACGCTAATTAGAAGAAATACGGTATTTATTAGATATACCTTGTGTGTCTACGGACACTGCGTATATTTTGTCACGATTATCCGAAAGTTTTGATGCAACTAAGTTTTCTTATGTCATGTCATGTCATGTTGAGAATGAGTGAAATCATTTGTTAGTTCAATTAAATGTGTGGTTTGTATCAAATAAGTGTTGTGTTTGATTACATAGTTGATACAACTGGGTGTACAGATGACGTCTAAGTCGCCACAAATCGTTTAGCAGAGTTACGCCCCTTTGGCACCCAGAAACCTGATTAGACTCCTGGCTCAGCTCGATTATGTTCCTAGTTTATTTCAGCACCAGACCTGTGATTGTGGGGTTCATAAAAGTGGTAAATCTCTAAGACCATCACTTTGGGCTTTCCTCATGCATTCAGCTGGAATTTAACTGGCATGCTGCTCACAGCGGCGTTGGGCGTTGGGGTAGCCTGGTGGTTAAAGCGTTCGCTCGTCACACCGAAGACCCGGGTTCGATTTCCCACATGGGTACAATGTGTGAAGCCCATTTCTGGTGTCCCCCGCCGTGATATTGCTGGAATATTGCTAAATGCGGCGTAAAACCAAACTCACTCACTCAAAGCGGCGTTCAAGACTTAGTGCACCCTTTATCTTGTGTTTACTTGGCTTGTATACCTGATATTCAAGGATCAGTTGTTCTAGAAGATGAAAATCGGTAATGTTAAATAAGGTAGGACAAATACAACAAATACTGGAACAAAGACCATTTTCAAACTAGACGGATTTAAAGCATCGTTAATTTGTTCAGATGTTATTGCCCATATGGCATGCGCATGGAGTATTGGAAGAGTCGTGTGCATGGAGTATTAGAAGAGTACAGGTACAGTCAAACACCATTGTATCGAAGTAAAAAGGACCTTCGAGTCTTCTGAGGTTTGATACAACCGAAACTTGACGACTAAATAAAGAACACACAGGGACCGAGGTTTTAATTTACTTCGAGACAACCGAATGTTCGACACAAGGATGTTTGACTGTACCAGTGTGCGATATAATTGTTTATCCTGAGGACCACTACTCCGTACGTCTTCAGTGGATAACACCACATTGAAAGCGCTCTCTACAGACAGGCAGAAGCATAAAGAGAGTAAACGATAAAAATGGAAGGGGGAAACATGTAACCCTGTATAACACCTGTTTCTGGATAATATCCCATGCATAACCAACGATACTATTCTGAGTACGGTTTTCCATTTTTTGTTAAATGTGGGAGGGAATTTAGAAGTGATTAGACCTTCACCACAGTCATTGGTAAAACCCCACCATTACTGTCACGGTGAGCATGAACCAAGAAACACTCACGGAACCCCTTGTTCGCGTTCATAAATAAGCAGTTATCTTGTGCAAGAAAACGTTCTTCCATTACTTAAAACGTATTCCATTCCATTTTCTATTAACGTTTGGGCATATGCCAAATTTGCGAATATTCTGCAATATTCAACTAAGTTCATTAAAATATATTTTAAAAGTTTGGTGTTATTGGTAGGATATGTACAGGATAAACGACAATTGGATAAATCCTTCATGATTCTGTGGGTTTCATTGGAAATATAATCATCAGTGGCAGAGAACGGTCTCGGTTATCTGCCGAAACAGATCCGACTCAGGGTACGCAACAAAATGGTGGTCACTAGATGGATGGATCACTGGAAATCAATGACACCATCTGTTCATGAGTGTGCTTGTGGGTATGCTTTCTTGTGTATTTTATTGAAAATGTTCAAGAAAATGTTTGAAAAAATAAATTGACTTCTGGTTGTTAAACTGTTAAAAAGACCTGTCGCTCCGAAAACATAGGTAAAAAAAAAAATTCAGGTTATGTATTTTACCCAGCTTCCTACTAGCTGCATGAATAACGCAGGAGCATAACATGTAGCATGGCTGATTTCTGGGCTACCATCACCGCAGGTATGGAGTGTGGCAACACGTTGCCATCGAGCTTGTTGTCGGGTCCGGCTGTTGTTTGTCAATACTCCAACACCACCATAAAACCCATTGATCTCAACTCCTGTACAAAAGACACACTGCACATAGCAATGATAGCTTGAGTTCCCGTCCTGTTGGTTTTCACATATACGATTTCGTTATGAATTCCGCTTTCCTTGATTTCAGTCGAGGTGTATGTCGTGAGTACGAACTAGATGCACATCAGTAGTGCCGTGTCTCAACCAGGGTTTTCCAAAGGTAGGCATTTCAGGTTAAAGAATACGTTGCTTCTTTCCCTCGTGTAATGTTTAATACATTGATTGAGTCATTCATCTTCAATATGTGATAGAAATTTGATGAAAGACTTAATCACCATATTTCTATGCAGTGTCGAATAACACACATCCATACCCTCATTCGGGAATTTCGCCTTCCGTGCGAATACTGGGGTTTGAAAGTCAAAAACTTGCACCAAATGACATTATATTACTCAGGATTACTTAATCAGCACATTTGTGATCCGTACTATTGTACTGTGAACCTACTGTCCGAATTTAGGGGTTATTACTTGTACCGAGGAGAGAACTTGGTTATGCCTACATTTACCATTTTGATAGCCATGATGCTGTTATAAAGGTCTCCTGTCAATGGATCTACCGCAATTCCACTATATTGTTTCAACATACTATGGAACCCTGTTTATACAGACGAAGTCCAATCGCCTCGGTTAACAAATGACCCGGTCAATGAAATGGGGTACATAGGAGGGAGCTTGCGGGGTATCAGGTTTCCATTGTATATACGAATGCACTTGTTAACACACATTACTTATATCATAAATGTGTCCTTTTACTTCGAATCTAAACAATATATTCAATTCGAAAATGAGAAATATTCGAACGTCATTCTAGGCAAGCGACCAGTATCAGAAAGCCATACCAGATGTTGCTATGGTTCTGGAGGAGAGGCCGCCTGAAGGTTGCTATTTTCACTTGTCTTGTAATTGCTGTATGGATGATAACAAGTGGACACAAGGATTTAAACGACCTTGAAAAACACAACCATGACCCCTACAGACCTCGTATGGTCAAGGTAAGTACCAAAGGTAAAATCAATGTCATATTACCATATGAATGTCAACTATTTAAGGATCATAAGGAATACACAAAGTCAATAACATGCATTGAATGTAAAGGACTAACACAAAGTCAATAGCATGCATTTAATGTAAAAAACTGATGTAATTACGCTGATTTGACCATTTCCGCTTTCACATCAGTTACACCTTTACTGTAATTAGTATTTAGATAAGAAAGGTGTGATACTGTTTGGCTGACAACGTCTTTATTATATTATGATGCGATGTTTCGGCGTGGATTCTTATACCATTGTCAAGAAAGAGTGAGTATAAGACTCTATACCGAATCGTCGTATCATAATATACGTAATAAAATTGTCATCCAGTAAAATATCACACCTTTATTGTTCATCGACTTCTAAAACATCAATAAAACAGATCATAGTACTTAGATAGTATATCATTGAATGATATTCTATTGGAGATGTGAACATACAGGGCCTGATATAACGTTCAAAATATCACAGACTTGCTCCAAGGCAAAGCTGAATGAGAAGTCCTTCAATTTGCAGTATTTCAATTTTTTAACAGGAATTCTAGATTAGCGGACAGTATTCAATGGGTGTCAATCGTTTTAGAGACAACTTGTCTCATATATATAACCTAGAAATTATTATTTAAACAATCAGCCTTTTAAACTTGTGCAAGTCTAATAGCATTGCATACCATGCAGGAACACTTTAGTAAATATCTGATAAGAAGCCATGGACTAGGTTATTGGTCCAAGGGACTGCGTTTTACGAAAGTCATGTTCGATTCCACACAAGGGTACCGTTCCTGAAGCCATGTCTGGCTGACCCCACCACGACAGGCCTGCACATTGCACCAACACCGACGTAAATCCAACACTCGCCAATAATATGTGATTCCGATTAACACCTTCTGTTTTCACCTAGCTTTCGGCGAAAGAAGCACGTGTACAAAAACAGCCAAAAGAGCAGGGTCAGGAACTTCTGCAGGATCTGCCCAATGAGGAGAAGGATGTTCCAAGGGTGGACAACTCTGGGGCTGTGTTCAAGAAGGGAGAACTTGGAAATTATGAACCAACTATAAAAGAAGTGCGCTCTGGACCAGGTTGGTTTTGAAAATGTTACTGGCATATCCAGATGGTATTTTGGCGTAATATACGATTATGAGTAAAACAATTTGCTAGGTTTGTACAAGGATATTTTAGCAGATGTTGACGTCATCGAACTTCATATCATGGCAAGAGATAGTTGTAAGGTTGCTGTGCTTTATCAGAGGTTCTGATATCCGTTATGACATATTCAAACACAAACCTGCTGGAACCTTTGTGTGGTTTCATACCAACCAAAGCTTTCGCCCTCAAACTTTATGGCAGAGAGGGGCGGCGGTGTCGCCTGGTACTTAAAGTGTTCTTTTTCACGCGGAAGATCCGGGTGTTATTCCAGTGTGTAACGCCCATTACTGCTGACCCCTGCCGTTATATTTCTGAACTATAGAAAAGACCGGTATAAAACTCGCTCACTCATATATTGCACAGAACAGTAACAAATCTCTATCGAAGAGGTGAAAGAATGCGATTCCGATTGCCGATGGAACATGAAATTCCTTTCATAATTCTTTCTCACATCTTACATATACTGAGAGAAACAAATAAAGGAACACATGAAAATTCAAGTGTTCCTTTAATAGTTTCCAGTTTTCATCACCAGTTTTGAAAAGCGCTGTGGGAGGAAATCTGAAAATAAACAAAGCAACACTGTCATGAAGTGCTGTTACCTTTATTGTTTCCTTCAGTATATAATTGACCACATCTTTACTGCTGCATCAGTATTTCAGTTTCGATAAAAGGGTACCAGCTACGATATTGAAGATATGTCGTTTTTCATATTCAGGGGAAAATGGAGCAGCGGTTTATTTGAAAACACCTGACGAAGAGTCCATTAAAAAGTACGGATGTGATATGAGTGTGAGCGACAAGATATCACTGGACCGATCCATCCCTGACACAAGGGACACAGAGTAGGTTAGCACACGGCTATTCGATCATTATTGGTTAAATATAAATTTTCCCTGTTATACAAGGAATGCAAACATTCTTGTCAAAACGTCTGTCAGTCACTAATGTTTAAGCTTTATCACTGTGACAGTCATAAATCCAACATGGACCTAGCAAGCTTGTGATTGGTTTGATGTGCAGTCATCTGTGTAGCAGGTTCCAATGACAAACATGATGTTTAAGCCATTTCGAATATATCGGGGAATCAAATAAAATGTTCTCTTGAAGCAATTTGGAAGAATTGTCACAGTTCCTGATCATGAGGATATTTGAAACGTATTTTAAACACGATAGCCTTACACTAGAGAAACGTTCGTTCATTTTTAACCGGGAAACATTAACTTTACGAGGTCTGGCGTATTTGACATACTATCCTGAATTTCAGGAAAATAGTTAAGAACAAAACAACACCCCTAAAACATATTGTTATGGGTCTTTTAACACTAACACAACTCTGTGAAAAACTCGTCTTAGAGAATGCTGGGTAAATGATTTGTTGACCCTTTATATCTTAATTCATGGTATGCATTGATCAGTATTTGTAATACATTCAAGGTGCAAGTTTTGGTATTCCAGGTGCAAGTTTTGGCATTATCCCACCAATCTTCCGAGTGCCTCGGTGGTGGTCGTATTCTACAATGAAGGCAACAGCACCCTCCTGAGGACTGTCCACAGCATCATCAACCGCTCCCCGCCATCCCTCCTGAAGGAAGTGGTCCTCGTGGACGACGGCAGCACCGTTGGTAAAGACTCCCTCTCAGTAGAGGTTAAGCTTGTTACCATAAAATTTAATGTGTGGTAGAGGGATGTGTTCAAACACTCTTAGTGAAGCTGAGGCGGTATCTCAAAGATGGGGATATCAGGGCACCATGCAGAAATCTTTGTAATTTGTATTCCGATGCTTGACAATAACGTCGAATACACAATGTCATTTAGAAAGTGGTTAAATGTAACACATGGTATATTTGGGATTACAATTTCTCAGTAAAGTACAGATTCTAGTACTTATATTGGGTTGAATCCCGTCCTCAGAGACAGGCACCTAATCGCCAGCACAGACAGTCAACCGCCTAACCCACTCAGCCAGCGCGGCTTCCACAATAATCGAATCCAACAATTGGTAATCTAGACCACGGACTTTCTGAACCCCTCTGTTGAGTATGCTGGCGATTAGGTGCCTGACTCTGAGCGTGTGGGTTCGAATCCCGGGTGGAACTCAACCCAATAAAAGTACTAGAATCTGTACTTTACTGAGAAATTGTAATTCCCAATTCCCGTTACAATGTCGACCCTGATGGCATATACCTAGCTAAGATACATAGCGTCAGTGAACGCTATGTATCTTAGCTAGCATATACCGTACTATGTTACAATATTCCATGTTTTATGGATATGCTGATACCAGCTGAACCGGTTTTTTTTCTATTCTATAGATCACCTGAAGGCTCCATTAGAATCCTACATTCAGCGTTTCAATGGCTTGGTCAAATTGTACCGGAACAAAGACAGGCTTGGGCTCATAGGTGCCCGGATGAGGGGAGCAAGGGAGGCTACCGCAGATGTCTTTGTTGTACTGGACTCACACTGTGAATGCAATGTGAACTGGTTACCTCCCTTGTTACATAGAATAGCTCTCAATAGGTGAGTCATGAATTTTAATTCATTGCCCCATTTTATCAAAACGTTTGATACTTACGTTCAGCATTAGTCCAGTCCAACCAGTTCTTACTCTGGTTGTCAGGTTTGTCGAAACTGACTGAAATCCAATTACAAGTGGATTCTTTAGTTGCACTAGTTGACGTAACTGTGGCATTACACAAGAATTGCGATGATGTGAGACTGAATTTATGTGTGGTTATTGCTCTTATCGCGACTCGTGTGTATTTTAGTGTTTTATCATGTTACATCCCGTTAATACTGAGCGTCAGTCAAGGAAAGAAATAAGTACCTTCTATTAGCGTCTTTCTGTAACATCAAACTACCGACCTTCAACGCTCCAGACAGACGCTCAATCCTATAGAGCAATGTTCAGCGTTCAAACAATTTTAAGCTCAATCACATTACAGCAATCACATCAATATCAATCATATTCCAGTAAACGAGGGGCGGTGGGGTAGCCTAGTGGTTAAAGCGTTGGCTCGTCACGCCGAAGACCCGGGTTCGAATCCCCACATGGGTAAAATGTGTGAAGCCCATTTCTGGTGTCCCCCGCCGTGATGTTGCTGGAATATTGCTAAAAGCGGCGTAAAACCAAACTCAGTCAGTCAGTCAGTCCAGTAAACGAAGGCAACATGAAATATTTTTGTCAGATGCTCAACAAACACGGTGTACTTTCAGTTAAATCTGCATCCAGTACTAACACTTCTCTTTGACAAAAGGGTTTCTTTCATGCTATTTGGCATCAACTGATCTATTGAAACAATGAAGTAAAAAAGCTACAGAGCTGTTTACAAAAGTTATGTCCCCTTAGTACTCGTGGCGTGATTGTATTTCAGGAACACCTTAGCTCTGCCAACTGTCGACTACATCAAATATTCCGACTTGCTTTACTTTCCATTGCCGTCACTCGACCAACAAAAGGGCGTGTTTGATTGGGGCTTTAACTACAAGCAGATACCACTAACAGCCGAAGAGAAAGCCAGAAAGAAATACCCAACGGAACCTCATAAGTGAGTGTGAATTGAATGAAATAAGGACTGAGCGGGGTCGATGGGTTAGCCTTGCGGTTAAAGTGCTCGCTCGTCACGCCGGAGGCCCGGGTTCCATTCCCTACGAGAGTATTGGTCGGATTACAGTCTTGAAAGAGAATTTGTCTGTCCCACTGGCCGAGCTTCAATATTATTTATCATATTATTATTGTTGTTGATGTTTTCACTCATATATTTTTTCGAGCAGATCTCCAACGCATGCAGGAGGCCTTTTTGCGATGAACCGCGAGTATTTCCATGAAATTGGCGGGTATGATCCCAATCTCCATGTTTGGGGTGGTGAAAACTTTCAGCTGTCTTTCAAGGTAAGACTCTTTGGTATAACAGCATTTGTTACAACTTCCTGAATTCTGCTCAACATTTGTCATTATGTTCAGAATTCAGGAAGTTGTAAGAGTTGTGTCCCTTAGATGGACCCAATCGCTCAATTCTCACCTTCGTACGTCAAGCTGCACTATATCTGAAAGGCAGCTTGAGTTCTTTACTTATAGGGAGTTGAGGATGAACCTGAAGTGCTTACTGATTTATTGACAAGGGCAATAATGCAGAGCCCATTGCTGCAATATTGCTAAAAGCGGCGTAAAACCACCATACTCACTCACTCACTTTGGGTGTGATTTTGGTGTGTTATGCACATAAATATAATTATTATTATTGTTATTATTATCATTTGCAGTGACTTTAAACCGAACCTGTAATTCGTGTGTCCCTCATGCCGAAAGGCTTGTTTCAATTCCCAACATAGGTACTGTGTGTGAAGGCTATTTCTTGTGTCCACCTTCATGACTATTGGAAATCATTTTCGCGTTCAACTCCGTACTTCCTATCATAACAATTGTACATTTAACCCTACAGGTATGGATGTGTGGGGGTCAGATAGAGTGGGTACCGTGCTCCAGGGTGGGACATATCTACCACCCCTACATGCCCTACAGCGTCAACATCGTCTCCACAGACAAAATCAAAATACCCGTAATACGTCATGTAAGTAGCAATCTTCAAATACCAAACTCACTAGTTTTGTTGTTTCGTACGAAAGGCTAATGCTGCCACTTTTGTAGCTTTAAATATTTGTTTTTTCAGCGACATTTCTCGTTGCTTCGATTATTTGGTCGGTGCTTGAGTATTTCTTGTTCTTTCAACTATTTTCTCGTTGCTTCGATTAATATTTCGTTTCAAGAAACTTGAAGCAACGAAAAATACTCGAAGCAACGAAGAAATGCTCGAATTTCATTTTTTTTAAAAAGAAATCTGAAGTAACTAGAAAATACTCGAAGCAACGATAAAATACTCGAAGTAACTATAAAATACTCTAAGTATCGAATAAATACTCGAAATTTCTAGTTTTGGCAGAAACTTGAAGTAACGAGAAAGTACTCGAAGTAACGAGAAAATATTTGAAGCTTCGAGAAAATAGTTGAAGCAGCGAGAAAATAATCAAAGCAACGAAAAAATACTCACAATTTCAAGTTCTTGACAGAAACTTGAAGTAACGAGAAAAAACTCGAAGCAGCGAGAAAATAGTTGAAGCAGCGAGAAAATAATCGAAGCGACGAAAAAATAGTTGAGAAAATACTCGAAGTAACGGGTAATTACTCGAAATTTCAAGTTTTTGAAAGAAATGTGAAGTAACTAGAAAATACTCGAAGCAACGAGAAAATACTCGAAGCAACGAGAAAATACTCGAAGCAACGAATAAATACTCAAATTTCAAGTTTTTGACAGAAACTTGAAGTAACGAGAAAATACTCGAAGCAACGAGAAAGTAGTTGAAGCAGCGAGAAAATAATCGAAGCAACGAAAAATTAGTTGAGAAAATACTCGAAGCATCGAGAAAATACTCGAAGCAACGAGAAAAAAATCGAAGCAACGGGAAAAAAATCGAAGCAACGAGAAAATAGTTGAAGCAGCGAGAAAATAATCGAAACAACTTTCATTGAAAAATATTTTAATTAAAAAATAATTTAATTGGCAGCATTTGGCTTTTTGATGCCCAGATGCCCAGTCCCTTGATTCGAATCCCCACATGGTTACAAAATGTGAAACCAATTTCTGGTGTGCCCCGCCGAAATAATGCTGGAATATTTCTAAAAGCGGCGTAAAAGTAACTTACTCACGCATGAAAAGATAAGATGCAGAAGAATAAAGCTGCAGCAACCAATAATACATACTAACAATAGTATCTTAGGTGATGGAGAGTCATATGTATTTAAACCAGTGCATTGATATTCCCTTTTAGTGAATTAATTCTACTTTCTGTTCTATAGCAACAAACAATTCCATGAAAAATTGTCATGTTTCACTTTATGTATCATTTTGTGTATCAATACATCATGCCGGTACAAGGTAACTTACATTTTCAACTGTGACATCGAGGGTCACTTTCCGAATGAAGCGGTGATGATAAAATCATGATGAAAATGACGATGAATAATAAATAAATTTTCTGTTGTGCTTTTTACTATTTACCAGAACTATATTCGAGTGGCCGAAGGTTGGATGGATGAATATAAGGAAAACTTTTACATACGGGAACCTGACTTACGTGGCTACCACGTGGACGTGTCTGACCAATGGGAGCTGAGACGGAAGCTCCGCTGTAAAAGCTTCAAGTGGTACATCGAGAATGTCGCCCCTGACATGTTGATGTACTTTCCTCAGCTTCTACCAAATATACAGCTTCTACCAATAAATCAGCTTCTATTCTAGCAAATATTCAGTGGGGCATGGTATTACTTTCTGTGTATCCAGATAAATCAGATTCTAGCAAATATTCAGTGGGGCATGGTATTACTTTCTGTGTATCCAGATATATCACCTTCTACCAAATATACAGTGGGACATGGTATTACTTTCTGTGTATTTGGATAAATCGGTCATTATACAGCGTACCTCTTTACGAGTTAAAGTGTTGATATTTTGTATTTTTTTCATTTCCTATTGCGAATTAGGTATGTCTCCCATTTCAGATACGTCTTAAGGGCACAAACAGTTGTCTGTGGAAAGATAACAGAAATGCAAAGATGGCAGCCTGTGATGGTCGAGCGGAAGAGGTACTTCACGTTACTGTCATATGGTCAAAGCATCATCTTTTTGTGTGCTTCATATATATCTTTGTTAAGCTTCAGATGGATCTTGGTATGGCCTTTTGTAGCCAGCGACACAGCTGATCCATAACCTGTTATTATTTACATATTTGAAAAGGTTTTTGAAACATATTTGAAAGTTTTGCCTTCAAATACTTAGGACTTGCCAGCATTTTCGAAAAGTGTATGTGTTCGTAAGCTCATAATTATATGCAAAGTTCAGTTGGTGTTGACATTAGAATATTGCTTTTGGGTACTTTCCTACTATTTTTATTCTTTTGCCTTCAAATGTGTTTCTCACATCGGACCAACGTCGATATTCTACCTACTTTTGAAAAGGCATCTGAATTTTATCTTTTTTTATAGATATTTCGTCGGAATACTAAAGGACAAATAGCTCATGGCGAAGTTTGTATATCAGCGAAAGTACAGGCGCCATTTAGACTGAGGTTCACGCGTTGCGCAGGCCCTGATAATGAACCATGGAACTGGATTGAGGTATGTAAGACTGGGTATAGGGCCTGTAAGTCTCGCGAGGCGTAACTTCCGGTACTAAGCTGGTTCCCGCCTCCCTTTGTGCGCGGCAACTTCCAATATTCGAGACGGGGCCCAGCTTACTTCCGGTACAAAATTTCCGGTGACGAGCGTATAATCAAGAACCATTCTGATTCCAAATTGCGCGACCGCCAAATATGAACTTACTAGACCGGACCAAGTGTACAACCATGCTTGGCTGTCACAGCTGTTGACAGTGGTAATAGTTGGCTAACTGGGGGATGGTTAGATCGGAAATTTGTTATTCCTGCAAGGATCATCTGGTTCCTTACTATCAAATGGCAACCATGAGACCATTCGTAAAGGTATGAACAGTTGTTAGTCACCCGAAGTACTAAGGTCTAGTGAAGTGTCGTGACCTACTTACGGGCCCTATTGAAGGTCACCATGATACAGCATGTATGTCATGTATGTCAGCACCCAGGTATAAAAAAAAGTGTCGGGAGAGACCAGTTTGTGTGAGCGAGTCAGGGAAGATGCTAGTCATCACACTGGCCTGGTGTGATATGATTTAGACTGAATGTTATTTTATGCCGCAGCCCTATGCGATCGGTAGTATAGGCTCAAGAAGGAAAGCAACAAAGTTTTCACACTTGCATGTGCAAGTGTAATACCGTCTGTAAACGTTGATTGTAAAACATTGATAGTATAACCGACTGCGGCACAGTTGGCACCACGTTTTACCAACATGGAACCTTTTCATGCCCCGAATTCTATTGGAAAATGGTTGGAATCGATAGTCGACATTCGCTATTGAGAAATCTGGTAGTGAACGGTGCTTCCCCCGAATGGACTCGCGATATTCTTGCCGTGCCTCGTACATCATGGGCGGAAATATCCAGGATATTTAGCCTAACAAACGGACATATTATAGTATTACTTTATAATCGAGGACGAATGGCCTCAACTTTAGTCAGATTCAATAACTGACTTATCACAGAATAACATGCAATTGGAATATGTCATGGGCCACGAGAAATTTAATCATGGGGGAATTTCAACGATTATTTGAAATCTACTGATGTATACCTTATGTATCTTATAAAATGCAATACCTTCTTACGCCCAACCATTCTTTGTTACAGGACACAAATCAAATAAAACATACAGAGAAAGATCTTTGCATGAAGGGGTCATCTACATCCGGGGATGTTGTGTTGGCGCCATGTGATGAAACCAGTATGGACCAGAAATGGACAGTTGAGGCATACTATTCCTGGAAGAAGAACACGTGACACGTCACTTCACATGTCCCACAAATATCTGAAGACTGAAGGTACTACACGGAACCGTTCCTGTGAAGGCCAATTCCTTCAGAGGAAACACCTGGCCTGTCGAGAGAGTCTTGTAACCTATCGTATTTCTCCGTGGACAAATAAGACAGAGTGTCTTGGTTGACAACTCTCCACTTCCATTGCTTACATTCAAAGCTAAACATGAAGACAGATTATTAAAACATGAATCTTTATTTTCTAACAAACCACATAAAGATAATTTATCATGTCAACTTCTTTATTTTAGGAACACGACGTTTCGGAGTATATTCAAACCCCTCCATCCTTATCTAGGAAAAAGATAGCTCTATAAGGGAAGCCAGTAGTTATTTGGCTGATTGTTAACAGCAGTGGACAAATATAAGCCAAGGGTTAATCCAGGCATCAATGATGAGGCAACAATGATGGTACTTAACAAGGAAATCCGATGATTACGACACGGATTGGTAATGGCAATAAACATAATTTATTTTGTATATCAGGGTCCCTTCATAATATAAACTGTATTGAGTTTATATGTACATGCTGATGTTTACATAACGTAATGTTACTGTGAAAATATGCCATTGCATGTCCAGTGATTACAGTTGTAACAAACTTGACATGTTTGCTTTAAATCTGTAAATTGTAAATATTTAATCTCCGACACACCTGAATAAATATAACGAGTAGGTCATAAGTAGTACCTGGTAGTTATATTTTCTACGTAGATAGAAACAATAGACAAACCTTTTCCTATTGTGTCCACGCTCATCATCCAAAATACTTATTGAAGATGGATGACAAACACGTTTGTGTGTTGTTGTTTAACGCTGCATATAACACATTGTCAACACATGAAAATTGTCAACACATGATAATTGTCAACACATGAACATACGCATGGTTGTACACTGTTCAGGTTCAGCCGAACACCTGTCTGTGTTATTACATGTCATATGTATCGCATCTTCCTATGGCAAGGGAGGTAACTGACCATAGTTTCCATCCTTGCCGAAGGTTCGAAAAACCAACTATCTTAACATTGACGCATCTTTAAAAAATCTTAACTAAGCCGTCAACAGATATTACAACCACACGAGTGTTTAGTCTCGCCTGAAAGCAACACTAAAACAAAAGAAATGAGTACCTCAAACAGTTTGTTTTCCGAGTACAGGAAGCTAAACTGTCCAACCCAAAAACAAACAAAACAAACATTTACACAAGATCATCCAATCACAGCTGTCAGATGTGCTTGAGATTCTTGTTAAACTACGGATTCTGATTTTGTACATTATAGCCTGTACTAGCCTGAGGGGCACTGGGGTAGCCTAGTGGTTATAGCGTTCGGTCGTCACGCCGAAGACCCGGGTTCGATTCCTCACAAGAGTACAATGTGCGAATCCCATTCCTGGTGCCCCCACCATAATATTGCGGCAATAAAGAGCGGCGTGAAACCAAACTCACTCACTCACTGACTCACTGACTCACTGACTCACTCACTCACTGTACTAGCCCTTCTTTGTCACCTGCTGCCTAATACGGTCATATGTTTCAATTACTGGATGGATGTACATTTAAAAAACACAAAAATCGTACTTACAATCATCCAAATGAAATGTGTATGAAGAAATCTTGCATTTACAATCAGTTATGCCCTTGCTTTAGGAAAGGGTTGAAACTGCACTTTAACATTTACTTAACTCCCTTGCCTTGGAAGGGTGTGGAATGTTGATTCATAATTTAATGCAGAAGTGATAGGTTCAGCTCGTAGAATGTGAAAATGAAAGGCCATTCTACCACGATGATTTAATACTTTAGAGATATAACAAGTCATTTGTGGGTCCCTTCCCTTTTCAGTGTGGTGTAGAGAGTTGTTTAGTTATTTCGGCACATGGTATAGTTACATTGGCCTACACTCGTGTAACCTTGATTCGTGGATATAAGTAAGTGCGGCGAAAATCATATACTGGCCACGTAAAGAAACTGTGCACACATAACATATAAAGATAGGCAGACAGCGTCTTTATGCATAAATAAAGGTGTGAACATAGCAAGTATTGGAGACAATCAAACGCTCATGCAGGTGCCAGGCGACGTGACGTCATTGATGGTGGCCTATGGACTTGCAATGTGTTACTGCACGTGCAGCCTGTGCAGCTTTCACACAACATGTGAAACTCAGAAATTGATGTCACTGTCGAAAGCTTGATCTTTGGTCATTCAAACGTTCACAAATTCACATGAAAAGTCACATGCACATCATGCCAAGATTAACATGTGCTCAACGTCATGAAGCCATTGGAATGGTTCGAGCATGCATGAGCCAACAACAGGTGGCAGCATATTTCCAATGCCATCGTAACACGATATCTGCATTGGTCAGGCGTAAGGGAAACAGTAATGACGTCGCCGACCACCCACGTTCTGGGCGTCCCCGAGTACCGACGCCAAGACAGGACAGATGGATTCGGGTGACTCATATAAGACACAGGTTCCAGACGGCAGTGACCACGTCCCAAACCATTCCCCAGGCCTTCATTTAGAAAATTTGGTAGCCTCTATGCGTCGTCGATGAACTGCTGTGATTCAGGCGCATGATGGTCATACCCGTTATTGACTTTGTGACTTCGACGTGTGACCCCCGACTCAATTTTGAACTTCTGACGTCATCGTTACGGATATTGTTCATGTTCTTTTGACATGTTGTTTAGGCCCGATACTTCAGCTTATAAAGTGTCTACATCATGTCGTCTTTTCTGTGTTGTATTCCAGTTCTGAAGGAATTTTCTGTGTGCTCAGTTTCTTTATGTGGCTAGTATATTTTAAATGCACGATTTCATTTTGTATACTCATTGATTATTTTATTCATTGATTCAGCAAATTGAAAATGTCTAATATTCCACTCGTGAATAAAACGTTTGTTTACCGAAGCCATTTGCAAGCATCACCCATTCGTGAGCACACACCTTGTTTTGTGGAAACGTAGTCGGTTACAATATATCACTATGTACGACAGCCCATTGTAATGAGTAATGACACCTTGGAAAACAGACGACGAGATGTAAAGAAGGTTGGTGCTAACGGTATCTTTTTTACTTGACATTTTGTAAAAATACAATTTGGTATTAGTGGCTTTAGGGATCTTGGGCTATTTATCTCAGTGCTGGGCAATGAGATTGTAGTGTGCTTACGCGCAATGCAGAGACTCGGAACATTTTTGTCAGCGAGGCGTGGCAGTGTGTGTACATCAAAAGTACCGCTTCGTGACGTCATACGAGACTTAATTTGTGATAATTACCGCGATCCACGAATCAAGGTTATCCACGAATTTAGGTTACGGTTCTGTTTATACATTGGTACTCCAATGTAATAGTGAGTGTCTACGGTACTATCTGTGTGTGGTTAGCCTAGTGGTTAAAGCGTCCGCTCGTCACGACGAAGGTCCGGGTTCGATTCCCCACATGGGTACAATGTGTGAAGCCCATTTCTGGTGCCCCCGCCGTGATGTTGCTGGAATATTGCTAACATCGGCGTAACACCATACTTACTCACTACTCCCCTCACTACAGCAATGCGGTATCACTTTCACTGTTCATGTTCACGAGATGTAGTATATTGTATGTCCGCTTCAACAAATGTGGGCACAACAACTTATGGTCTTCACATCGTCTTCATATGCTTTAAACAGAGTACACCCACGGAACACAGTTTGCTATCTCCAAGCTAGATGAGCCCCACCAATCAGTAAGTCGTAGCAAGCATATCTAGTTTAGGTTTCAAGTGAATTGTTTGTTGTTTAACTCAGCAATATCCAGCTATATAGCGGCTGTATGTAAATCATCAAGTGTGGACCAGACAATCTAGTGATCCACAGTATGAGCATCGATTTACACAAATGGGATACGATAGTGCGTGCCAACCACGTCAGCAAGTCTGATCACCTGATCCCGTTAGTCGCCTCTTACGAAGTATGGATTGCTGAAGACCATATCTAACCCGGATCTTCACGGGCGGTTGCAAGTAAACTCAGACTTGTCGTTAACGGCCATAACGTGGTCCTGCTGGTCCTTCTACACCAAGCGTTCATACTTCAGCGGTTCTAATAATTTCATCTTCGACAGAACAGTTTGGAACTGGTTTAGATCTTATAATACACCTAACTATCAATTCGCTCTACTCAATCTTTCATACGCTGACAAGAATGTAAGTGCGGTGTCCTACAGGGCTCCATGCTGGGACCTTCACTTTTGAATGTTATTACACTGCTAACGAGTTTGTGTGCATATGCGTGTGTCTGCATGCGTGTATGTGTGTGTGTGTGTGTGTGTGTGTACTATTCAGGACTTGATGTCGATGTTATAATACAGGCACACTGGTATACCTTGTATGACAATATATGTCATCACGAATAATTATAATGAATTCATGTCCTTAATTTGTCATACTCATCTAAGTGAATATGATTTTTAGGTAAATTAAAAATATATCCATTGTGCAGTTAAGCTGCAAAAAAGTGAAAAGTGCACTTTTTATGTATTCGTAATAAATCTAGAGGAGATAGGATATCTAATCTAAAAATGAACATATTTTTACTCATTACAATTGCATTAAATTTAGTCGTGTCCTAACAATATTTACCACGAAACTTTGAATGATCAAACAACTTCTGCATCATTGTCGTATGACGTTCTTTCAAATCTTGGTAGATGAGCATTCTTGTTTGTGCATCAAAGTGTAAAACGTAAGCTCCAAGGCTGGAACTTCCTTACTGTTGCTTGACAAAAAGGGAAAGATCACTATGGGAAAAGTCATCTCTCTAGTCATACAGTCTTGTGAACTTCGGTCACAGTACTTAGGTCTAACTGTTAAACAAGTGAAGATCACTGATCAAGGCGTGGATGGGAACTGGCTATTTGATTGTTATTGAACAATGTCAGATCATTGATACCTGAAGCTTCGATACAAAATCCCACTCCAGAATATCAAACGGTCGATCCATACTACATGAAATGTAAAAATAAACAAACTGTTTTGGAAGAGCCGACTGGCAAACTATGCTGTACAAACAAAATTCACAGCCCCAGCCCCATCTAGGATATTACTGTTCGATCCGAACACTACGAGTGAGTGCCTTGTTGATTTATGATATGGTTGATCAAATATTTTGTTGTAACCTCTCGATACTTGATGACATCACGTTCATCTCATTTTTGGACAAGTGGCTTTGCAACGTATTTTAGAAACTGTTCAGACACTGTCTAGAGGCATCATAGTCTAACTCCAGGGGCATAACAGTCAAACTCCAGAAACATCACAGACTAAATTCAGAGGCATAACAGTCAAACTCCAGAGGCATCACAGTCAAACTCCAGAGTCATCATAGTCTTACTCCAGGGGCATCACAGTCAAACTCCAGAGGCATCACAGTCTTACTCCAGAGGCATCACAGTCAAAACCCAGAGGCATCAGAGTATAACTCCAGAGGCATCACAGTCTAAATCCAGATGTGTCACAGACTAAATCCAGAGGCATAACAGTCAAACTCCAGAGGCATCACAGTCAAACTGCAGATGCATCACAGTCAAACTCCACAGGTACATAGTCTAACTCCAGATGCATCACAGACTAAATCCAGGTGTTACAGACTAAATCCAGAGGCATCACAGACTAAATCCAGAGGCGTCAAGATTAAATCCAGGGCAGCACAGACTAAATCCAGTGGCATCATAGACTATATCCAGATGTGTTACAGACTAAATCCAGAGGCATCACAGACTAAATCTAGAGGCGTCAAGATTAAATCCAGGGGTAGCACAGGCTAAATCCAGTGGCTTCACAGACTAAATCCAGAGGCATCAACAGACTAAATCCAGAGGCATCACAGACTAAATCCATGGGTGTTATGTTATCTGAGGGCACATACTGTCCTCAGATGTCATCAGAGAAACGACAAAAGACAAACATCACGATAGAAAGGTTATGAGGACAGCAATCATGTTTATTATCGACGGTAACGATCAGAAAGGTAATGGGAATAGTAATAGTAATCACAGTGCGCCTGGTGCAGAGACGCTTCTTACACTTACTCGGATCATGTAAGGATGGCAACTATAAAACACTCTGGTCTGGTGTTAAGTCATTATTAGGTAAACCGGTTACACAGGCGACATCTATGAGCAGTTCGCAATGGGTTAAGTACTTTAAAAATATTCTGAACATTAAAGATGGAGATTTCATAACCTTTGCCGAACATTATATATTGCAAAATGAATTTACATTGATTGATGATAATTCCCATAATATTTTAAATAAAGAGATAACCATAAATGAAATAGGAAATGCATTATCAACTTTAAAACTTGGCAAAGCATGTGGTCCTGATGGACTGCCTCCTGAAATGTGGTTATATTTTATTATCTTATTTGCATGCACTTATTATAAATTGTATTGTTAACTCTGGAGACTTTCCCTCTGCTTGGTCACAGAGCATTATCCTCCTACTTCACATGAAGGGGAGCAGAAATGATGCTAATAACTATAGAGGTATTTCCTTGATGGATGTATGCGGAAAAATATTCACTTTTATTTTAAATGAAATTATTTAAATCCAGAATGTCAAGCTGGACTCCGCTATTCAACTGTTGATGATGTTTTCACTCTACATGCTTTAATTAAAAAATACTTCTAAGTCTAAGGGTCGATTTTATTGTTTACCTGTTGATTTTCATAAAGCATTTGATTGTGTAAATGGAGATCTATTATGGTATGTTCTTGCTCAAAACAATCTTCGTGGTAAAATGCTTTCAATAGTGCGTGATATGTACATTAAATCAATTTCACCTATAAAGCTATCAAATTGTAATATTTCAGAATATTTCAATTTCTTGAGTGGTATACGCCAAGGATGTATACTCATTCCATTATAATTCAGTATGTTTGAGGAAGAGGATCTCACATCGTCCGAAGAAAGATGTATTTTTATTATTTTATGCTGATGGTTTATGTATATTTTCTGATACAGTTATAGGTTTACAAAGGAAGATTAATACATTATCCAAATATTCCACAAAATGGGGTTTAAAGGTTAATTTTACAAAAACAGACATAATTGTTTTTAGCAACGGAGGTATATTTAAGAAATCCGAAAAATGGATGTTCAGCTATTTGGGTATTTTATTTTCCAGCAGACTATCTTGGTCCAGACTCTCATTCCTAAAGCTAATAAAGCCCTTCTTCCAAATAAATAGATTCATCATAAATTAAAAGATCTTTCTCCCACTGTCTTATTTCAAATGTTTGATACACAAATTAGCCTATCTTATTATATTGCTCAGAAATATTGCGGTTTCATGAATTGCTGGAAGTAGTTTTCTCAACGAGATAAAGATTGTAACATCCAGTGTATATTTTCTATGTTAAATGAACACTCTGATTTAGAGTTCTATTCTTGTGTCAAAAGTGTTTAAAAACGTTACATAACAAAGACTTAAGTCGATATTTATCACTTTTAAGATTAGGTGAATTAAATATCATGAAGAATGCAGGAAGAATAAATAATATCCTATGAGAATTATGATTTTGTCCATTTTGTAATAATAGTTTAGAAGTTGAGGTTCATTTTATGTTTATTTGTGCACTATATAATAATGTAAGAACATCACATTAAGTTAAATATTGATGATAAAGATAGAAATGCTCTCATACGCTTTCTTCAAAATGAAAATAGTAAATTTTTATATATGTATGCAAATTATCTTATGGAAGCGATTATGCGACGTAGCGCATTATTATTGTAAATATATATAAATATGTTCTAGTTATTATGCATATCATTTCTTTTGTATAGTATTATGCATTGTACATGTGTCTATGGCCCTTTTACTGATCATGAATAATTTATATTTTACTCGGACGGCGATTTTGTAAATATCGACGGAGTTGGCCTTGGCTGCCACCGTAACTGGCTGTTCCATCCGCACGCTTCTGTCTCTGATTCTTACCCGTCTCTCTGATTGACCATACCCGTCAAGTTTTGTAGGTTGCTGTTTGTTTCATACGCACTCAACAATATTCCAACTATATGACGTTGGTTTTGAAACTAATTGGTTCTGGACCAGATAATCCAATCTTTATGATTATGAGAATCGATCTTTTCAGTTGGGGTACGAAGACGTGCATCATGTAAGTCAGTGAGCGTGACCACCCGATTTAGTAGCACCAAACATGAGTACCTGAACACCAATTCTGACTGAGAATCTTCACACTGTGTTGTGTTCATAGCCAAGGTCTGGAGGACGTACATGTAGGTATACGCTCATTTCAAATAAGAGATCGCACTGGGGAGAAAGGGTCCTGATCAGAATGCTTACTGCTTACATGAAATAGATCAGGGGGATATTCATTTAGTGCACTAGGGACAAATATTGAAACAATTAAGTATTTAAGATTTAAAGAAACTTTTTAAAGTGGTTTGCACTTTAACCTAAATCAAGGGTCATCACTGTCTACATCTAGAAGCATCTAAGTCTAAATCCAGCGACACCACAGTCTTAACCCAGAGGCATCATAGTCTGAATCCATAGGCAGCACAGTCTTAACCCAGAGACAGCACAGTCTGAACCCAGAGACACCACAGTCTGAATCCATAGGCAGCACAGTCTGAACCCAGAGACACCACAGTCTGAATCCATAGACACAACAGTCTGAATCCATAGGCAGCACACTCTGAACCCAGAGACACCACAGTCTGAACCCAGAGACACAACAGTCTGAATCCATAGGCAGCAACCCAGAGACACAACAGTCTGAATCCATAGGCAGCACACTCTGAACCCAGAGACACAACAGTCTGAATCCATAGGCAGCACACTCCGAACCCAGAGACACCACAGTCTGAACCCAGTCTGAACCCATCACATTACACCAGAGCATGCTGCTCTAGGATGTTAACTGATGTTTCTCTCCCTCATTTCCGCTTCTCTAAAATCCACTGCTGTGTATTAACCGTGTTATTACACTCGGCAAGAATCAGTTCTTGACCGCTTTGGATACACTTCTTGAGCACCGGGTGTCGAATTAAGCCCGTTTCCTGGAATAATAAGGACATAATTACTGTAAGAAAGGGACATTTTAGAAAAAAAACTGTTCAAGGTTGAAAAGAAAATGAATTTGCATCATATTTTGTTTACATTCATATTTTTTTAGAAATAAAAATAGATATTGGAGAATTAGATTGGCAACTACCACATCCATCTATGCAGGTGTCACTGCGGTTTCTTTGGGGTGTGTTTCACGTCTTATAGGGGCACTAAGAACTACTAATATGTTCATTAGAGCGAAATGTATATCTTTAAGGTAAAACGGTACACGGATGACAAAATAAAGATAATTACGGGAGGCAATGTTTGCGAAATAATTTTTTTATTTAACGTCTATTTAATCAAATGTTCTGTAGGTTTCTATATGCCGTTTCAAGACGGATGAGTGAGTGAGATAGACGTGAGGTCGTCTTGGACATCTTCATAGCGGTGTATCAACTTTGTGTGTAAATGAAATCAAAAGCAGGTCTTGTTCTGTAACCTGTACAGTGGTCACATCATCAACTATAGTGAGTGAGTATGGTTTTACGCCGATTTTAGCAATATTCCAGCAATATCACGTCACAGACTGTAACCCGTATAGTTGTCACGTCACAGGCTGTAACACGTATAGCTGTCACGTCACAGGCTGTAACACGTATAGCTGTCACGTCACAGACTGTAACACGTATAGCTGTCACGTCACAGGCTGTAACACGTATAGCTGTCGTCGTGTAACACAGGTCTGTAACAGGCTGTAACACGTATAGCTGTCGCGTCACAGGCTGTAACACGTATAGCTGTCACGTCACAGACTGTAACACGTATAGCTGTCACGTCACAGACTGTAACACGAAAACTGAGAGAGCACTGAGAGAAGACCATCATGGTTACAACCAATCTTGTATTATGCCGCCTCTGAATTTGCTTTTTATTCTGCCATTGTGGTACCTTTGTACTGACTTTGAGTGAGTGAGTTCAGTTTTACGCCGCTCGTAGCAATATTCCAACAATATCACGGCGGGGAACACCAGGAAGGGGCTTCACACATCGTACCCAAGTGGGGAATCGAACCCGGGTCTTCGGCGTGACGAGCGAACGTTTTAACGACTAGGCTACCCCACCGCCCAGTTCTGACTTTGAGGGAGGGTAACATGTATAGTTGTCATCTCAGGGCGTGTAACATGTATGGTTGTCACCTCGATGACTGTAACATGTATGGTTGATACCTCGAGGACTGTAACATGTAGAGGACTGTAACATGTATGGTTGTCACCCTCGGGACTTAACATGTATGGTTGTCACCTCGAGGACTGTAACATGTAACATGTATGGTTGTCACCTCGAGGACTGTAACATGTGTATGGTTGTCACCTCGAGGACTGTAACATGTATGGTTGTCACCTCGAGGACTGTAACATGTATTGTTGTCACCTCGAGGACTGTTACATGTATGGTTGTCACCTCGAGGACTGTAACATGTATGGTTGTCACCTCGAGGACTGTAACATGTATGGTTGTCACCTCGAGGACTGTAACATGTATGGTTGTCACCTCGAGGACTGTAACATGTATGGTTGTCACCTCGAGGACTGTAACATGTATGGTTGTCACCTCGAGGACTGTAACATTTATTGCTGTCGCCTTGAGGACTGTAACATGCATCGTTGTCACCTCGAGGACTGTAACATGTATGGTTGTCACCTCGAGGACTGTAACATGTATGGTTGTCACCTCGAGGACTGTAACATGTATTGTTGTCACCTCGAGGACTGTAACATGTATTGTTGTCACCTCGAGGACTGTAACATGTATGGTTGTCACCTCGAGGACTGTAACATGTATCTCAGTCAAGTCGTGTAACATGTATGGTTTGTCACATCGATGACTGCAACATGTACCTCAGGAAGTGTAACATGCATTGTTGTCACCTCGATGACTGTAACATGTATTTTTGTCACCTCGAGGACTGTAACATGTATTTTTGTCACCTCGAGGACTGTAACATGTATGGTTGTCACCTTGAGGACTGTAACATGTATCGTTGTCACCTCGAGGTCTGTAACATGTATCTCAGGAAGTGTAACATGTATTTTTGTCACCTCGAGGACTGTAACATGTATCGTTGTCACCTCGAGGACTGTAACATGTATGGTTGTCACCTCAATGACTGTAACATGTATCATTGTCGCCTCGAGGTCTGTAACATGTATCTCAGGAAGTGTAACATGTATTGTTGTCACCTCGAGGACTGTAACACATATAGTTGCCATGTTACAGACTGTAACATGTATCGTTCTCACCTCAGGAAGTGTAACCTAGTTGACTGTAGTGAGATCAATTCTCACACCACTTGACAACCATAACTGTCTGCAATCATAGCGATTCATGCATGTGTGATCAAAATGAGTGTGCAATACGTTTGTATCATATCAAGAGACACTACCTGATTCCATTCCCAAGGGTGTTTGTATCCATCAGGACACATGGGAAACGCAAACTCTTTCCCCCTAAATTCCAGGCAGAATTCACCAACGGACATCTGTCCCGCTGTATTGTACCGGAAATACTAAAACAGAAAAGACACGTCATCAAACAAGTCACTTTGGCATACCCCTATCCACTTTTGTCTTGCGACCAGCAGGATTTGCTGTGGACCTTGTGTAAGCGGGTATTCAGTGGTCCATTCATATGATGTACACTGCTATATTTAGCTTTTTACATCACAGAGAATTTTTTGAACTGACTGATATTTTTCATTTAGTAATACTACGGCCCATAAGTAAACATTGACTGTGCCTATGGACAGACATTCTCTTCCCACAGAGGTTACTCCTGTCATATCTTCCTACGTAACCTCTGTTCTAATACGGCCCTTTCGTGGTGTGAGCGTTCAAGACTCGTGATTGGAGACAATCAGATTTAGTTGTGCAATCAGCGACGTTGTTTCAAAAGTGACCATTCGCATGGCCTCGGTAATTTCCGTGTACTTCGAGAAAACTAAACCACTTCCTCTGCGCGATGCGCAAACGTTTCTTCTAGACAGAACTCAGTCATGTTATGGCGGATCAGTGGCGTCTCCATCGCCCTCGTTGACAACGGACAAGCTAGCCATTAAACGTCTTGTGTGTAACATCAACACAAGTCCCCGGCAGTTGGGGGATATTTGTGGCCTCACATTTGCTTGTGTTAGTCAAGTTGAATCTAAGTCGATGTAACACGTGTTCTGATTGGATAGAAAGAAGGGAGATAATTCGTGTTGCGATCTTTTGCCGCTAGGGGATCTTACGAGAAACGGGAAATATGGCCGTATTAGAACAGAGGTTACGCAGGAAGATATGACAGGAGTAACCTCTGTGGGAAGAGAATGATGGACAGATGGTTTGAAAGATGGTTAAATGGTTTGAAGGACAGTTGGTCTGATGGATGATCTGAGAGATGGATGATGGATGATCTGAAGGATTGATGGATGGATGGATGGCCTGAAGGAAGGACAGATGGTCTGAAAGATGGATGGTTTGAAGGAAGGACAGATGGTCTGAAAGATGGATGGTTTGAAGGAGGGGTGAGGGTCTGAAGGATGGTTAATGGTCAGAAGAAGGGATGGCTGGATGGTCTGAAGGATGGATGTATGGTCTGAAGGATGGATTGATGGTCTGAAAGATGGATGGTCTGAAGGATGATTGATTGTCTGAAGGAGGGATGGCTGGATGGTCTGAAGGATGGATGTATGGTCTGAAGGATGGATTGATGGTCTGAAAGATGGATGGTCTGAAGGATGGATTGATGGTCTGAAGGAGGGAGGGATGGATGATCTGAAGGATGGGTGATTGTCTGAACGATACGCAGATGATCCGAAAGATGGATGGATGGTTTGAAGGAGGGATGAGGGTCTGAAGGATGGGCAGATGGCTTGCAGGATGGATGGATGGCTTGCAGGATGGATGGACAGATAGCTTGAAGGAGGAATGGAATGATGGATGGACAGATAGCTTGAAGGAGGATGGATGGCACTTGCAGGATGGATGGACATGACAGATAGCTTGAAGGAGGGATGGATGGCTTGCAGGATGGATGGACAGATAGCTTGAAGGAGGGATGGATGGCTTGCAGGATGGATGGACAGATAGCTTGAAGGAGGGATGGATGGCTTGCAGGATGGATGGACAGATAGCTTGAAGGAGGGATGGATGGCTTGCAGGATGGATGGACAGATAGCTTGAAGGAGGGATGGATGGCTTGAAGGATGGATGGACAGATGGTTTGAAGGAGGGATGGATGGCTTGAAGGATGGATGGACAGATGGTTTGAAGGAGGGATGGATGGCTTGAAGGATGGATGGACAGATGGTTTGAAGGAGGGATGGATGGCTTGCAGGATGGATGGACAGATAGCTTGAAGGAGGGATGGAATGTCTGAAGGATGGATGGATGGTCAGAAACATGGATGGTAATGGTTTAAAGATGGACCAAGGCTATAGCAACCAGAAACACGTATCTCACTTACTTCCCCATGTTGTTCACAGGCTCCGAGTATTAACTTTCGGTCGTATTTCCTCAAACACTGACTCCCATGCCGTTCTTTAATCTGAAACACGATGCATAATTGATTCCGTCATGCCAGTTGACCCAAACCGCCCCAGGTACTAATCTAGCTATATAGTTAAAGCAATAAACCAGCTCTACCAAACAGCATTTCAAATAATTATGACGTGCAGTTAGTACTATTTAAGCAAACACACAAACGAACCTCCTTCTGTCCCTCTTTGCCACAGCTAGGATAGGTCACGCAAACTTCATGTTTGTAACAGTGGGCAAATGTTGATTGGATGGATATTGTATCACCTGCTTTATCGTGTGTCACCAAGTACCGATGATACTGAACAGTTGCACTGATTTATTTAATCCATATTGGATTATTCAAAAACGCTGCACGGGTAACTGTAGTGTTACACAACATTCACTCAACATTCAAGACCTGTTTCCTTGAAGCTCCTGACCAAATGCACTGGTCTAGAAGCCAGACCTCCCAAATGGTGAAAATGTGGTGCAGTTCTGGCGACCAAACGGGGTGTGTTTTTTCACAATCAGGAATGATTTGGCTTTGATTTAAAGACGGTTGTCAACAGCTACCGTGCGTGACTACCGTGCAGGGGCCCTTTTAAGGTGCAACACGTCATGTCAGTTATTGCAATATTTTAACAGATAACTGGATGGTTTAATTTAATAACTCTGGTTTGGATTGACCAATTTTCAACAAAATAGTAGTTTGGGAATGCTCAGATCAGGATTTAAAATTGTAAACAATAAAATAACATATATGATCATCGCAAAAATATTTTGGTAAGATCAAAGGTCAATTTTAATCGAAAGGGCATTTGATGAGAAAATATGAGTTGAACTTTACAAATTAAAGGCATTTTTTTTCAAAAATTATGTTTTTCTGATTCAGCTATATCATTTGAAGATCACATATACCTTAGGTTGGCACTTTATGCATGAAAAAAACCATCACAAGGAAACAAAGGTTGGTACTTCGTATTTAGATCAGCAATATATAAGAGAATTTCATCTCCATGCTTTACAAAGTATCAACAATACTAAATATGTCGAAGATACTGTTGACCTATCATATAAATTTGCGTTTATTGACATTCTGGCAGAAACAACAATTCAGCTGTCAGAAGGAGATATGTTTTGATAAGTGTCAGTATTGCACTGACATGCCCTGAAACCCTTAAAGCTGATAGATAATAATATGACATCCTAATGGAAGGTTTACAAGTGACATTATGGTGTGCCATTTTTCTGTTTACAATGTGAAATATTACGACTTTGGTTTTCTTGATTTCTTTTACATCGGCAATTATTAATACATTGTAAACGATATGACACACTGATGAGAAAGGCGTTATGGTATCTTACTACCAATTGTACACACAGTCATGTCATCGTAACGGAAACAACATTGCCTTCATATCAGTTCGTATTTATTGTTTTTAATAGTCATAGTATATTCCCAGTTAAGATAAGATAAGATAAGATAAAATTATACTTTATTATCCCGAAGGAAATTTTGGTTGACATGTTACTCAATGTCAACATTGTCAAGATCACGGGAACATGTTTCAAGGCCACATCCACATGCCGAAGTACACAGCAGGTTCAACCTCTTGCAGCTACACCTTCCTGTACATTGGCGTTTACATGCACAGATATCTTGAAGAAGGTCCACGGAAACAGTTAAGTCTTAACTTATTTGCAACTTTATCACAGAGGAACAGGGGAATATTTGATGAAGATCTATTACGACAGAAACGTACTTCTTTAAATACAAAACATTAAGTGCCTACGTTTATGGACAACTCAAAGAAATTCTAGACAATATTCATATAAACATCTTGCTTCTACTATACCGTTCATAAAAATATGCATACCTCGGTGTTAGTAATATGTAATGATATACACAAAACAGTTACACATAGCATGGTCATGACTCTATGAGCATCGATCTTCACAAGTGGGATACGATGGCATGCATCAAACAAGTAAGTGACAACGACCAACCGATCACATTAGTTCGCTCTTACAACATGGGTTGCTGAAGATCAATTTTGACCCAACATATTTGTGAACCTGTGATAATGGTTAGTGAATAAATGCATAGTCTCATGAACGTTGACCTTTATGACCCAACACTGACGCTGTTACAGGTCATTGGCTCCCTCCCTCTGCAAGCAGTCTGCGTTCTGCTGTTTATTTTGTTGACAGTTACATAGACAGATTGTTTAATACAAATGCATAAAATCTGTGATTTACAATGTGATTAGGTTGTCTGACAAAACATCCACTTGCACAGTTTGAGATCGATTGGGTCATTGGATGAAGAGATATTTACAAAAAAACGGGTCCACATGCATTTCATGCCAAACTATATATATTAATTTTCCGAAATATGAATGCTAATATTACTAGGAGATAAAGTTTTTTAAATGCGTTTCCCTCCTTGTAAGAACCACAGTCGCTTTGTATTGCTGGGGCCTTACACATGCCAGTAGTCTGTCTCATATTCCAAACTTTCGGCCCAACCCCTTCTGTAATGCAATAGTCCCAAATGATGCCAGTCTAGACCCCAAATGGTTCTGAATCTCCGAGCTCACTGGGGCTAATTCAGTATATACGGAGTTATATATTGCCATAAAGATTTCCTATTTTCAGAGGCTTACGCTTTGTATAACGTGCCAGGATCCTGTAATTATGGATCCAAACATGCTCCGGATATGCTTGGTGTTTTTCAAGACCATATCTATGTTTCTGAATTTCTCCCACATTAAACAACTGTTGTTAGATCCAATATTAAACTTGCACGCTGTGTAGCCTTTTAATGCAATGGGTTTTGTGGATGTGTTTGTTTATTTGCTATTTTGTTGCATTTGTATGGGCTGGGGCTATTCAAGATGAAATCCACCTAAGCAGGATTAATTGATTATTTTCGAGTAGCGAATTAAGTGACCTACTTTTTGTTTGTACCATGAACTCCCGTTTTTTCCTGGTGACTTGATTGTGTGTGTGCGTGCGTGCGCGCACGCTTATTGGTGAAATGCCACACAACTACATCCTAATCACTACATTTAATCATGGGTAACTTTTCACATTGTTTGCACTGTAAACTGATCAACATGTAGATGCTTGATGGGCATTTTGAAGTTGGAAGGAAACGTAACAACGTATGGTATGGATTTACAACTTCTTTATTATTTACAACACAACATTTCTGGGCTGCTTCTTAGTAGCCCAGAAACGCCGTGTATTTATGATATTGAATATCTGCTTGATTTAATGGAATATGGAAACTTAAGGTTAATTCAAGTACATTGTATGTATGATTGCTTGTGCGATCTTTTAATCAGCATGATTATTTTCTCCAATTATACATGGGGTAGTGGAAATAGAGGAAAGATGGGAGGTATCTGTTCAAGTGAGTGAGTGAGTTTAGTTTTCCGCCGCACTCAGTAATATTCCAGCTATATGGCGGCGTCTGTAAATAATCGAGTCTGGACCAGACAATCCAGTGATCAACATTATGAGCATCGATCTGCGCAGTTGGGAACCGATGACATGTGTCAACCAAGCCAGCGAGCCTGACCACCCGATTCCGTTAGTCGCCTCTTACGACAAGCATGGGTTACTGAAGGTTCATACTAACCCGGACCTTCACAGGTCTATCTGTTCAAGGCGTTAATACGTTGATACGTCCACGACCTCCAGATAACCTTCAGCGTTGCTTGAAATACTAAATCAATACATTTGAAAACATGCTTACCTGAAAGAATTGTATAATGCATGGATGCGAAACATGTTGCAAACAGTAATATTGTTGTCAGTTAACACCCAATAAACCAGGTCGGAGTAATAACATATTGCATAGCCTAAACAACTATCAAACCTCAATGTGAATGACAACATTTAAGTCTATAACATCTGTCTGTAGCCTGTAGCCTTTTTTGATCAGTGTGTCATATCTGTAACAATATATTAATGATTGCCGGTGTAAAAAGTCGTAATATTTCACATTGTAAACAGAAAAAATGGCACACCATAATGTCAATTGTAAACCTTCCATTAGGATGTCATACTATTATCTATCAGCTTTAAGGGTTTCACGGCATGTCAGTGCAGCTGGAGCGTGAAGTGACACAAATATAAACAATATTGACACTTATCAAAACATATCTCCTTCTGACATCAGCTGAATTGTTGTTTTTCATGCATGCAGTGCCAACCAAAGGTATGTATGATCTTCAAATGATATAGCTGAATTGTAAAAACATAATTCTGGTAAACTTACCTTAAATTTGTAAAATTGATAAAGTTGCAAATAAGTTAAGACTAAATCGTTTCCGTAGACCTTCTTCAACTTCATAACTGTGCATGTAAAAGTCAATGTACAGGAACTCAGGAAGGTGTCAAAAAGGTTGAACCTGTTGTGTACTTAAGCATGTGGATGTGGACTTGAAACATGTTCCCGTGATCTTGACATTGTTGACATTGACTAACATGTCAACTAGGAATACACTAGGACTATTAGGAACAATAGACACGAATTGATATGAAGGAAGTATTGCTTGTGTTATGATGACATGACTAACTCATCATTCTTTGATGAGCTGAGAAAGACATCTGGAATAATAAAATTATACAATTAAGAGCTTTCTGTTATGTTGTGTGATTTTAATGATAGTCCAACAGTATCTTCGACTTATTTGGTATCGTTGACTATGGAGCTGTTACTGTTGAACAGACATTATATAATATTTTGCTGATCCAAATACAAAGTACTAAATTGTGTTTTCTTGGTAAATGTTTTTCCTGCATACAGTGCCAACCAAAGTTATATATGATCTTCAAATGATATAGATGAATTAGAAAAACATAATTTTGGAAACAATTACCTTTAATTTGTAACGTTCAACTCATATTTTCTCATCAAATGCCCTTTCTATTAAAATTGACTTTTGACCTTACCAAAAATCTTTGCTGATGAGCATATATGTAATAATATTGTCCACAATTTTAAATCATGATCTGAGCATTCCAAACCTACTATTTTGATGAAAATCGGTCTATCCAAACCAGAGTTATTAAATTAAACCATCCAGTTATCGGTTAAAATATTGCCATAACTGACATGACATATTGCACCTCAAAAGGGCCCCTGCACGGTAGTTACGCACGGTAGCTAAATCATTCCTGATTGTGAAAAAACACATCCCGTTTGGTCGCCAGAACTGCACCACATTTTCACCATTTTGGGGGTCTGGCTTCTAGACCACACTGATTTGTTTGGTCCATTGCTGGATTATTCAAAGACAGCCGCAGCAAGCTGCTCGGGTATGCTTACAGTGGAAAACAACGTTCACTCAACATTCAAGACCTGTCTCCCTGAAGTTTCTTCTCCTTTAGGAGTATCAAAGACGTTCAAATTATTGTCCGCCATGCCTCCATGTAACCATGTGTTACGCAATTACTGTGATATGAACCTGTGAAGATCCGGGTTAGAATTGATCTTCAGTAACTCATGCTTGTCGCAAGGGGTTACTAACTGTATCGGGTGGTCAGACTCGTTGACCTGGTTGACACATGTTATCGTATCCCAATTGCATAGATCGATGTTCATACTGATGACTGGATTGTCTGGTTCAGATTCGATTATTTACAGACCGCCGCCATATAGCTGGAATATTGCTGCGTGCGGCGCAAACTAAACTCACTCACTACTATGCTATGATATTCCTGGTTGCATTGTATAGTAACGTTCACAAGGACAAAGTAACACTTAGACCGCCGTGGTCACTTTAAGCTGTTACTTATTACGTTTAGTAGGTTCTTAAACATTGTTGAGACAAGCATTTGTGGAAAAGACGACTAGTTCTATCATCTGTAAGCATATTCTCATATCTTCGAAGTCGTACAACTGCCTCCGGATATATTTGTTTGTTGTTTAAGACTCAACAATAATCTGGCTATACAACGGGGTCCGTGAGTAATCGAGCCCGGGGCAGACAATCCAGTGATTGAATCGCATGATTACAGATTACGCAAAGGGATACGATGACATGCATCAGCCAAGTCAGAGAGCCTGACCACCCGATCTCTATTCGCCTAACTGAACATTAATTCTTACTCGGTATATTTATACTGTAGGCAATTCACTTCACTTTAATACAGATATCACAGATCATGCTTTGTCCAAAATCATATCATTTGAAAGAAAATTAAAAAAATTAAGACAACTGGCATACTTACATTTCCCCACACTACATTCTCTGGGGGTAGAGGATAATCCTTCGGCACATCATATGCCACATTTTCCATAAACCATTTGAAGCTCTTGCAGCCCAGTCTCTTCCTGAGTTCCATTTGATCAGTGACATTAACTTTCAGTGTCCTGAGAGCTGGATACTGTCTGTAGAGATATTCCTTGTATTCGTCCATCCATCCTTCCGCCGTGCGGACGTTATTCTATGAAAACCAACTTCATAGTGAGTCCTCTCTTAGCTCCTTGAACAGGAGGTCCAGTTAACCAACCAGCAGAGGAGATTTAACCACTCCTCCACCAATCAGATAATTAGACAATAAGGCGACCAAACTAAAATATTTTAACATCCAGTTGTAACAATTGGTCATGTATGCGTGTGTATCAGAATACTATTGATAACAACTGCGGACATAATGATGTTTCCACATAATGAGAAATCATATTAAGTATACATCACCTTTACAAGAAGCCACTGTTCCAGATGCATTATTCAATTAATTAAAACATTTCTCCCACCTTTCACGTTTTCTATTTCGCAAACGTTAAGCTGCAGATGTAAATTTCAGTAGCTCGGTGCGTGAAAAAATAAACAGTAACAAAATCTTTTCCCGATAGTTGGTCAGAAAGTAAGTATCAGTGACTTTGATAACATGTCCATGGTTCTGCAGTTAACATGTTTGAGCGGCATTTTAGTAGATGGCACGCTGAATATTGAACAAACCTTATGCTCAATCTTGAAGGAATGGAAGATAAGATGCAGGTCTTAGATGCTAAACAGGCCTAAAAGCCCACATTGAATCGGGATTCGAACCCACAATCATGGATACGTGGTGCGTATCTGAGGAACGCAACTTTTAACTTATGATCCTCCAAAGCCTTAATGTGGTGTTCCGGTTCACGTTTCGAACATAATTCTAAATTAATTCTAGTTCTGTATATGAGATAAACAAATCTAATTTGTGTTTCCGCTTGATATTTGAATATTAAAATCATTTTCAAATTTATTAGGCTGTTATTTTTATTTATTTCTGGATCTAAGCCCGATAAACACCGCTTCGACTATGCTTGGGGTGAGCCAGTGAATTTAGTTTTACGCTGCTATTAGCAATATTCCAGCAATATCACGGAGGGGGACACCACAAGTAGGCTTCACTTGAAGTTCACGCATTGCTCCTATGTGTGAAATAGAACACGGATCTTCGGCGTGACAAGCGAAAGCTTTAGCTATTAGGCTATCCCACATCACCGATTATGCTTTAACTTACGCAACGTCCAGAAAAGAATATCTAGTCACGCACATGACCTAGGATACTCACCTTTTCTAAGTAGGATCCTTTGAAGGTGAAGGGCATTGTGTAATGGTAGATGTGCCCAACTCTTGAACATGGCACCATCTCAAATCTACCGCCACACATCCATTGCTGAAAAAGAACAGTGACCATTGTTATACCACATCATGTCAGTCAGTGATACAAACAGTTCACTATATTGGTAAAACCCTCCAGAAAGTGAAATTTGTGAAATCCCTAGGATTAAAATCAGGGCGCATTCGGTATCAATACATCCTCGATAATCTCCAGGGTATACGTTCCGATAAATCTCCACTAGTATCTTGGATGCATCTATGACTCGGCCCGATAATTGTATTACCTCCCTTTGCTGACTTTTTTTTCCAATCATGTCTCTACGCTGGGAAGTTGAGCGTACCAATTTAAGGCTTCCATCATAACGAATAAACTTGGCAACAGAATTGTTGCAGAGGTACCCTGAAAGAGGTAGAAGGAGTTCTTGCATATATGTTTTAAGGTTTCAGATCTGTCAATTTGTCTGTATGATTTTTCCCTAAATCTGAGATGCACAGCGAGCAAACCTTCGCGGCTGCGGTCGCCATCTTTGTTAACACTGGCAAGCTCGGTTGTAACGGCTTATCTCATTAGCTGCTGTGAGAAGGCAGAACCAGCAAAGGGAGATAATACAATTATCGGGCCGAGCCTTAGATGCATCCATGGTGCTAGTGGAGATTTATCGGAACGTATACCCTGGAGATTATCCAGGATGGTATCAGCACCGACGATCATATATCCTAAGGGGCACAAGTTTGCAGCAGTAATATTTAAAGTTTGTCAGTCCATTCTTTCAAAAGCAAGAACGATCGAAATGGTCTGAAAGACTGCATCAAAATTTCTAGGGAACAGACTTGGAACTCTCCACCTGTGGTAGTATTGATGTCAGAATCAACCCTTGCAAAGTACCCTTACTTTACCGGAAGAGTGTCAACGGGTTGTCTTCCAAAGAAACCCCCGCTGCAACCTCTCAGTAAAAATATGTTTCAACAAACTCAGGGAATCTTTTATGCAATGGTGAAAAACGCTGATACCATAATCTACATAGGCACCCTATTCATAACATTGAACTCAGCCCATGGCATTAAAGTACACTCTCTCCTACGTGACCCTCTTCTCGCTTCCTTTTGTGAGGTACTCCACTGATGTACCCCTCTCCTTCACAAACTACGTACATGTATATAATAATAATGATTAATATTAATGATTTATTAGGAATGCGCTTAAACTCCACGCCTAATTATGCTGCTCCTGCTGCTGTTGCTGATGATGATGGTGCCTGCTGGAAGATGCCTTGACTCCACGCCTGATGATGATGATGATGATGATGATGATGGTTCTTGGAAGGGGCTTTAACCCCATGCATCGTTGGCATGCTCCAAGCGCATACAAAATGCAAGTAAATAAATATCAATATTGTTGAATTTTATGGATCAGTACTCGGGATTTGAAGACGGTTAATGAAGGGAGCATATTTACCTTGAAAGAAAGCTGGAAGCCCTCTGCTCCCCATATCTGAAGACCCTCATCATAGCCACCGATGTCAAAGAAGTGTTTGCGGGTGACTGCAAACAGTCCACCGGCGTGTGTTGGAGTTCTGTGTTGAAGTTTAAACAGGCATTAGTTCTTACATCCTCCTCATGGTGGTAAAGGGATCATACAAGTCGATACACCATGAGCTTTAAGACACCACGAGGAAGGTAAGAAATACAATACAATGACAATGGACTCTCTCCACATTTAACAACAGCACAATAATACATGGGCATTGGGCAAGTTGGGCCAAACAGACGGCTATATCTAACTGTGCACCATCAGAAACTAACCATTAATATTATCCTGTTTTCTTATAATGCATGATTAGTTTCAAAATACTAGTGATGGTATTCAAATGTTTACATAGACTCGCTCCAGCATATCTCGCAGACCTCATTAAACTCTACCAGCCAGCACATCTGCGGTCACAAGATCAACTGCTTCTCTGTGTCCCCTCCAACAAAACCAGAACATTTGGAGAAAGATGTTTCCACACATCCGGACCTACCCTGTGGAACAGTCTGCCATTCAGTCTGAGGTCACATCATGAACTGTCAGCGTTCAAATCTGAATACCTACTTCTTCGGAAAGGCATACGATGTTCCTCAATCGGGACCCTCAACAAGTCTTTCAACTGCCAGTTCCTAGCACAGTATAGCGCTTTTGAGTGGTTCTACCAGATACTAGCGCTCTACAAATATTTCTATAGATAGATAGATAGATAGATAGATAGGAAGAAAGAAAGAAAGAAAGAAAGATAGATAGATAGATAGATAGATAGATAGATGATACACACGTATAATCTGAAATTAACTACCATTATTATACTGAACACAAAAAGTTAGGGATCATGAATATTTTAAAAATATGTAAAGGTTGTCATGTGCTCAGTCTTCCCTTAAAATAGGGATTTTTATCGTTGTATACTTTTTGTATGAGTGATAGAAGTATTAAAAGAGTGACATTTTCGACTTAAAAAGTATAATTCAGTTTCATCTGGAATAAACCATCTTTTACCCATACTGTCTAACGGTTTATCATGTATTACACGTCACCCTCAATCTTGAACTTGTGATTGTTCTTACATTCGTCCGCTTTATTCCATTGTAACATATGCCGAAACAACAGCTATGGACCCCTTTCCCCTTTTTAGAGCTATTGACGCTTGTTGGCATATGCTAGTGTTTGACGTCCAACATACTAAAGTGGCCCTTCAGTAATTACACCGGGTGTACATATTTATCATGTCGATCAAAACTGGTACAATAATCTGTGTCGAAACGTCCCACTCACGAAATATAAGAAATTGTTGTCCACAAAATTTGTCAATATTGTAATTTTAGGCTGTCATGGTTGGTTGTTTAACGCCGCACTCAGCAATATTCTGTGGAGTGTTCTGTACTCGTTCACCAGGTGTAATATGTAAGCGCTTTGAGAATGCAATGTGCATGAAAAAATGCGCAATATGAAAGGACTTTTTATTATCATTATTATGCGATTGCCCATGTGCCTACAATATGTGAAGCCCATTTGTAGTGTTAACTGCCTTAATAACGATAAAATGCTGCTAAATAGCCAATTCAGTCACTCTCGTCAATGGAGACACGTTTCAGGTAAATGCAGTACGTGATGAGCGTTAACTTAGACAACCCTACTTGTTCTCGGTGTTTCATGTAATGTGCAAACCCCCTTGTAATACAAATCAATAATAGCAATTTGAATCTATGATCGTTTGTTAAACAACTTTTATCCTAAGTTGAATACAATTCTGAGTGCAATTCATCGGTACAGACTATAATGTGATGTTATTGAAAGTCGGCATACCACAGCATCTGTTCGATCGAAATTCAATACCGCTCAAGTTGTAAATGTTTCCCTTTTATCAAGGTCATTTTTAATTTTATCAATACGCTTTCATCGATCCACTTTGGTTTTGATCTACCGGGTTGTGAAAATAAGACCCCCGGGCTGAACAGAAAGAGATATGAATGATGGCCAACATAAGTCACCAGCAACTGATTCTTGCCACAAAAGTGAGTGAGTTTAGTTTTACGCCGCACGGTCAGTAAATAATCGAGTCTGAACCAGACAATACAGTGATCAACAGCATGAACATCAATTTACGCAATTGGGATACGATGACATGTGTCAACACAGTCAACGAGCCTGACCACCCGATCCCATTAGTCGCCTCTTACGACAAGCATGGGTTACTGAAGATCAGTTCTAACCCGGATCTTCACGGATTTTGACACAAAAGGCCACTAAATGGGATGGAGGACGAGCTTGGGTGATTTGGTTGGACACATGTCGTTACAGTCACCAAAACATCAGCAAGAAAGGAAATTAAAACAAATAACATTAACATCAACATCACAGTCATATAACTAAACATAATGGTCACAATATAGACTTCTCCTTTTCGGACCTTGCGTTATTCTAAACAATGGTTTAGGTTCCACTTGTAAATACTCTTCCTCATTAAGAACTGTTTGGTTTTCGAACACCTGGTGTCATATCGATTTTCAGTTATCATGAAATATACTTTTCACAGCCTTTACATCAAACGGACTCTGTTTCCGAGGATAGTAACGATTGGGTGTTCTTTTGCACTGATGTTTTATATTTTTATGATAAATAATAAAAATATGTTTGCCATAAGCTTGCAAGATCAGAGGCTTCGATTCCAGAAGAGTGGAACTGAAGAGGTAATATTTACGCATAAGGTTCGGAGTTGTGCTTCCATTTCTCTGTCCGCTCCTTTGCAGTTACTACTTGTTCTTTGTAGCGAAGACCCCAGTCGAAAACACCTTTCACCATGTCCGTTAAAACTGGTGTGTATCTAAAGTCTTGGTAGTGCACTCCATCAACGGTGGGTTGCGCCATGGCAGTTCTAGAAGCCAGATGATTGAAACATTAGGTTGAGCTTCTCCATATGCTCCTTTACATAAAATAGCTAAATATTTTCTAATTAATGGATTAGTTGTAGAAAATAATTGAACACACCTTCTATCTGTTGGGTAATAACATATTTTGGTAAAATATTCTGCCTCAGTTCCTTAAAGAATGAACATATAAAGCAAAAATGAAAATCGGTTTCCACTTCTGGGCTAATACAAAAGCTCTTGGCTAATATAAAAGGGACAAAACCTTAAACGTTTTCTTTCTTGAACTGTTAAGCTTTCTACCATCTGATATCATAAGATTATGACCCGAACAACGAAATTGTGATAATGAAATCCTATAAACTTTAATATCTAAGTCTGTCAAATATTTTTCATTAGCATAATCAATTCTAGTACTTCTATGAAATGACAAACTAGAGTATTTACCAAGTGCATCAGAATACAGCTGTTATCAATATGGATACACCTTTGCCTAAAATCTAACGTAATGATGCAGCTGAATGAATGTTAATTTTGTAATCGTCCACTGCAGGTCTATCTTATATAGTTGGTCTTACAGAGACATCAAGTGGTGCCATGTCATATTATCTTACCGCACACATAAATGTCGCTTTCTGATTGACTGAGCGCTCTTCTGTTATTTTCAATGTACCCCGCTTACAAGTAACATTTCAATGTACCCCGCTGTCAATGGCAACTCATTCTGTACTTCGTGGTAGTAATTTCTTATCTCGAATAACATTGAATCACGTAATGATGTACGGAAATTACCGATGGTTTGTGAATGCAAATCGATGGAAGGGAGATAACTCTAAATCTGTTTTTCTTGTTTGCAAAATCTAGCGATGGCTACAAAAAGATTTGTACCCGTGCTTCAAACAAATCAAAATTAACATTAAGGTGTTCGGTAAGATAAATACGTTGTTCACTGGTCCCTCGGGGCCCATGGGTTGATGTACCCTCGATGTTTGTTTATGTTCCCTGAGCCCGAAGGGTACATCAACCTCGTGACCTCGTGACCAGTGAACAACTTATAATGAACCCTTTGTGGTAATAGAAATAAGTATACTCACCTATCACGAGCAATTCTCTGAATCAGGGGAGGTAACCAGTTCACATTAACCTCACAATGAGGCTCAAGTATTACAAGTATTTCAGATTTTGCCTCCCTTGCTCCTCTTGTCCGAGAACCCATAGCCCCAAGTCTCTTTTTGTTCCTGAACAATTTGACCAATCCACTGAACCGGCGAATATAATTATCTAGAGGCGCAAGAAGGTGATCTGAAAAGTAGATGATGGTTAAGATATACTTGAAATGAATACTGCAGGGTGAGTGAGTTGGGTTTTACTCCGCTTTTAGCAATATTCCAGCAGTATCACGGCGGGGGACACCAGAAATGGGCTTCAGACATTGTACCCAAGTGGGGAATCGAACCCGGTCTTCGGCGTGACGAGCGAACGCTTTAACCACTAGGCTACCCCACAGCCCCGAATACTACAGGGACCTGGGTTAGAATACGAGAAAGTCATCACTCAATTACATATTCCTAAAGGCAACGTAATTGTTAAGCTTGTCCAGTTCAAGTTGCAGGTCATTTCGACATGGTGTGCCGAAGCTCGTGATATCAATCACTAGTTTATCTCTCCAATATTTGATTATTTGCAGGCCGTAAGTGAAGCAAGCAACAATCACTTCTAAAACAAAGTGCCGGATCACTTGTATCTAAAACTCTGCATTTCCTTGCAGAGTTGACCCAAGAGGATCCGGGTTAGAATTGGTGTTCAGTAACCCATGCGTAAGAGGCGATTAACGGGATCGGGTGGTCAGGCTCGCTGACTTGGTTGACACATGTCATTGTATCCCAATTGCGTAGATCGATGCTCATGCCGTTGATCATTGGATTGTCTGGTCCAGACTCGATTATTTACAGACCGCCGACATATAGCTGGAATATTGCTGAGTGGGGCGCAAAAACTAAACTTACTCAGTCCTTGCAGAGTTGCGTTCCTTGGGCACGCCAGGAAGCTACGAATGTGGGTTCGAGATCACTTTCCCGTTCGCCTCAATTGTGTTTCTATGTTTGCCAGCACCAAACCAGTGTTGGTGGTTTTCGCCAAAGCGGTAAACGTCTCAGTCACTCATCACTGCGGGGGTTAGTCCTACATTAAGCTGGCGATTCGCTATATGGACTGGGAAGTCAATTAGGTCATTACTGGCTTCTATCCACATCTGCTAATCACTTGTACAAACTCTTCCCTTGTGTAAACAATACCTATTATCTGTACGTACATCTCATCTTTCATCTCCCGTTTCTTAGCCAATTTATTGTTCCTCCTGTGGGGATACGTAAGTCCCAAAACATTCAAAGTAAGTTTAAACATACCATTATTTTTAAGCGTAGAATATGTGTTATTTTAACTTATGGCTAAATTGTCTAAACTTGCTGACAGCTGAAGGGATGGTGTAAATCCAGCTAGGGTCCATGCAGGAAGCAAATGTACTGTAAGTCCCCATGGTCCCTATTATGATGATCTACCTTCAGTCGTTAGCAATCTACAGCCTGTTTCTATATTGTCTTGTCATTTATAGTTCCAATATTTTAGATTTAATTGCTAGTTTTAAATAGATATATGTGATACACTGGTAGTTTTACTGTTCTTCATCAACATTTTTTTTAATTTCTAACTTTATTCATCTTTAATATAATTATAAAATGTTCTCGTCACGATATGGCTGAAATATTGCCGATGTGACGATAAATATTAACTCACTCACTCACTCCAATTTATTGTATATACATGCCACACTGGCTTCTTGTCCATTTAGTATATATACTCACTGATGTATCTTGTTTGTTACAATTCACCTGACGAAGGGACGTTGACATACAATAAAAAACAGTTGTCATCCATAATATTTGCCTTTTAACTGGACTTGTGTTAAAATCAGCGCTTAAATACAATTCGCTCGCACACAGGACAGAACTGTTCCACAAGGTTGACAACACGAAGGTATTCTACACATTTACCAATGTTTGAAATGTGATCCGAAATAAATATAACAAACACACATCATATATATATATATATATATATATATATATATATATATATATATATATATATTATTTACCCCCCAGGACATTTGCAAATATTCACCATTATCAACCATTTCTCACGGGACTATCCAATATGTTTCAAGAGGAGTGTTTAATTATGTTCATTGATTTCGTGTACTTTCAAGCCTATAAAACATACAAATCATTTCAGATGACAACTTTATGGATGATCAACTTCTTTAATTTAACAATAGCGACGTTTCCGTATAGGTTCTTATGCTTGAAAACGGTAAAAGAACCTATAGTCCGTTTGGCTCAAAAGCGGACCGATGAATTGCAATCTAACTCGAAAACTAATAAACATAAAATACTCAATGAAACGCTGATCATAAACAAAACATCATACCCACTCTGTGAGGTTTTTGCAGATTTTTTGTCCTAAAAGTAATAAATTTGTTTAACAATCTATCATTAAAATATTGACACAGTTCACTATTTGTTACGAGGGAGGAGTGCAGAGAAAAGGGACAGCCAGGTGTTCGAGAACGGATGGAGACGGCACAGCACAGGTTAATGAATAAATAACTTTGTCTGTGATCGTGCTTCTCGAACACCTGACTGTCCCTTTCTGCAAAATCCTCACAGAGTGGGTATGATGTTTTGATTATGATCAGCGTTTCATTGAGTATATTATGTTTATTAGTTTTCGAGTTAGATTGCAATTCATCGGTCCGCTTTTGAGCCAAACGGACTGTACACCGAAACGTCGCTATTGTTAAAATAAAGAAGTTGATCATCCATAAAGTTGTGTCATCTCTATACCAGCAACTTCTAAAATGCCACTCAAACAAAACAAATCATTTCAGTCAATCTCACCGTGAAGCCCATTTCTGGTGTCCCTCGCCATGATATTTGCTGTAATATTGCTAAACGCGGCGTAAAACCATACTCATTCGCTCGCCCGGCCGCCCGCCCGACCGACCAACCAACCACCCAACCAACCAACCAGCCAACCAACCAGCCAAACAATCAACCAACCAATCAACCAACAATCACTCAATCATTTTCACTGCACATTATATAGGGGCGAAAATGGTGGCAAATGTAAATCTGTCCCCACCCTTGGTGCTTGCGTCGTCCACAAGGACCAACTCTTTCAGAAGGGAGGGTGGGGAGCGGTTGATGATGCTGTTGATAGTCCTCAGGAGCGTGCTGTTGCCTTCATTGTGAAAGATGACAATCACAGAAGCACCTGGTAGATTGCTTGGGTAGTGCCAGAACTTGCACCTTGAAAAGCAAAGAATTTTGTTACCGTTTGGACGGAATTGTGTAGATGTTTAGCATGAACAAAGCAAACGCACGTGTCGGACATACGGAAAAATATACTGTGCAGCCCAAATTTTTGAGAGGTTTAAATTTGAATCTTTAACTCTCATCGTGCAGAGTTAAGGCGTAGAACAATTTAGTGGTACATCTTCATGTATTTATAATTTACCTTAAACATGACAACTTTCAAACTTACTTTAAAAAACCTCTCTCTCCGACTCTCATGTTCACTTGGTGTGTGAGTGAGTTTTAGTTTTACGTCGCTATTAGCAACATTCCAGCAATATCACGGCGGGGGACACCAGAAATGGGCTTCCCACATTGTACCCATGTGAGGATTCTAACCTGGGTCTTCGGTGTGACGAACGAATGCTTTAACCACTAGGCTACCCAACCGCCCCTGATGTCCATCATGTACGTGTTGAGCATTCATATCAAAACCAAAAACAAAAGATAAACAAAACAAAAAACAAAACAAAACCAAAAAAAACAAAACCACATTGTACCCATGTGAGGAAATGAGCCCGGTTCTTCGGTCCATTTCTGATCTTCATCGCCGTGATATTGCTGGAAAATTGCTAAAAGCAGCGTAAAACCCAACTCACTCACTCTTCGGCCTTACGATAGCCACTGGACTATCCCACTGCCCCCATATTCACTTTGACTTGCATAGGCTCGCGGGGTAGTGACATGTACTATTGACAAAATGGATTCAGATGTTACTCACTCTTTTGGTCTGGTGTCAGGGATAGAGCGCTGCAGCGAGATCTGGTCGCTCACTTTCATGTCGCAGCCGTAACGCATTAATGAATCTTGGTCTGGCTTCACTGGCTTTACTGGTCTGCCCCCCTCACCTGCAGACAAAAAGAATGCCAAAAATGTTTAGTGAAACTTTTATTTATCTAAATATGTATAATCGACAATTTGAGTGAAATAAAATGTGGAATGTGGTTGATAAGTGATCATTTCATACGATTTGCCATTATTTCTTACCTTTCCTTCTTGTTTTATACCCGCCGTGATATTGCTGGAATATTGCTAAAAGCGGCCTAAAACCGTACTCACTCATTCACTCTGTTTTATATAAACAGCTATGTAGTTTTGATTCCTATGAAAGGAGGAAAAGCTAAACTAGAATATGGTACCAATTACTCAATATCTATAAAAGTTTAGTGTGTTATCTTACGATATATCAGTTGATTAATACCTACCAGGACCTTCCACGACTCTCTCTGGAGGAGGTTCAAAGTTGCCCACCTCCCCCTCTTTGTACACAGCTTCCATCGATCCTGTAGGGTGGTGTTGTGGTTCAACCTCGAACTCATCTGGCTGCACTGCTCTCAGTTTTGGTTTATGAACCTGCAGTGAATTACCTACGTCAAATACCCTTGAAGCTCCGTGTTAGAATTGGTCTTCAGTAACCCATGCTTGTCGTAAGAGGCGAATAACGGGATCGGGTGGTCAGGATCGCTGACTTGGTGGACACCAATTCCGACAAGCAATGCTCATGCTGTTGATTACTGATGCATGCGACATTATACAGCACCATAGATTCTACTGATGGGAATGGAATCTTGATGCATGTGACATTATACAGCATCATAGATTCTACTGACGCATGGGAATGGAATCTTGATGCATGTGACATTATACAGCACCATAGATTCTACTGACGCATGGGAATGGAATCTTGATGCATGTGACATTATACAGCACCATAGATTCTACTGACGCATGGTAATGGAATCTTGATGCATGTGACATTATACAGCACCATAGATTCTACTGACGCATGGGAATAGAATCTTGATGCATGTGACATTATACAGCACCATAGATTCTACTGACGCATGGGAATGGAATCTTGATGCATGTGACATTATACAGCATCATAGATTCTACTGACTCATGCTGTTGATTACTGATGCATGTGACATTATACAGCACCATAGATTCTACTGACGCATGGGAATGGAATCTTGATGCATGTGACATTATACAGCATCATAGATTCTACTGACGCATGGGAATGGAATCTTGATGCATGTGACATTATACAGCATCATAGATTTTACTGACGCATGGTAATGGAATCTTGATACATGCGACATTATACAGCACCATAGATTCTACTGACGCATGGTAATGGAATCTTGATGCATGTGACATTATACAGCACCATAGATTCTACTGACGCATGGAATGGATCTTGATGCATGACATTATACAGCACCATAGATTCTACTGACGCATGGTAATGGAATCTTGATACATGTGACATTATACAGCATTATAGATTCTACTGACGCATGGTAATGGAATTTGATGCATGACGCATGGGATTCTGGACGCATGGATGGAATCTTGATGCATGCAGCATCATAGATTCTACTGACGCATGGATGGAATCTTGACATTATACAGCACCATAGATTCTACTGACGCATGGGAATGGAATCTTGATGCATGTGACATTATACAGCACCATAGATTCTACTGACGCATGGGAATGGAATCTTGATGCATGTGACATTATACAGCATCATAGATTCTACTGACGCATGGAATGGAATCTTGATGCATGTGACATTATACAGCACCATAGATTCTACTGACGCATGGGAATGAATCTTGATGCATGTGACATTATACAGCACCATAGATTCTACTGACGCATGGGAATGGAATCTTGATGCATGTGACATTATACAGCACCATAGATTTTACTGACGCATGGGAATGGAATCTTGATGCATGTGACATTATACAGCACCATAGATTTTACTGACGCATGGGAATGGAATCTTGATGCATGTGACATTATACAGCACCATAGATTCTACTGACGCATGGTAATGGAATCTTGATGCATGTGACATTATACAGCACCATAGATTCTACTGACGCATGTGAATGGAATCTTTATGCATGTGACATTATGTAGCACCATAGATTCTACTGACGCATGGTAAGTGAGTCTTGATGCATGTGACATTATATATCACCAGAGATTCTACTGACGCATGGTAATGGAATCTTGATATCTGGATTCTAACAAGACACATGTTTATGTGAGACGTAATGACAAAAAAAGTCAAAATTTCGAAAATAACAAAGAAATCAATGTAATATAAAAAATAAGGTATTATACCTAAGCGTTGCCATTAGTCACCGTACAAGTGAACATTATACCTTAGTAAACGTATCGTCCTTGCTGTACGAGTGAAGCTGTTCCACTCGAAAGTAGTTCATTGACACCCCGAAACAAATGAGAAAGAGGGCGCCCGTGAACATCGTTCTCATCCATCGTCTCCTTGTGCGAAACATGTCTGAAATTTGAAACAGGCAGCTTTAAAACATCGACCGTTGGAGGAAATTGCCTCTATTAACCTAAGTTAATTCACTCAAAGGGAATACCAATACACTGTTTTTTTTCTATAGAGATACAATTATTAGAGTATATTCTGGGTTGCTGCAGTTTTACTCTTATGTATCTTGTGTCTTCATGAGTGAGTGAGTCAGTTTAGTTTTACACCGCCTTTAGCAATATTCCAGCAATGTCACAGCGGGGGACCATAAATGGGCTTCACACATTGTACTCATGTGGGGAATCGAACCCGGGCATTCGGCGTAACGAGCGAACGCTTTAACCACTAGGCTACCCAGCCGCCCCTGTAAATTGAAGAAGCTGTGGCGACAAGTACTACTGGTGCTAGCGAATTGCTATGTGTTAGACACATATGTTCCTCTGATCTTTTCCAGGTGGTCAGTTGTTGGTTTAGGTTGATTAAAGATTGACAGAAGATGTCTTTATATGGAATAACCTTTCCATCTTTTTGTATGGAGTAACGTGTCCATCATAGCTTTGGTCTTACCTAGTCAGATGTCGTATGTGAGTGAGTGAGTGTAGTTATACGCCGCACTCAGCAATATTCCAGCTATATGGTGGCGGGCTGTAAATAATCGAGTCTGGGCTAGACAATCCAGTGATCAACGGTATGGGCATCTATCTACGCATTTGGGATACGACGACATGTGTCAACCAAGTCAGCAAGCCTGACCACCCGATCCCGTTAGTCGCCTCTTACGACAAGCATGGGTTACTGAAGACCAATTCTAACCCGGAACTTCACGGGTCGTTGTCATTTTGTGTTTACGGTATGACTTGGGTTACAAATGTAATGGGTTAGCAATTTTGCAACTGTCTTACTTGAAAAAGACACACCCTAGCCACACAGGGAAACGGTGAGCGTATCCTGACCAACCTTGGTCACCTATCGCAAACGCATGCAAAGGCAAGTCAATTGTTCACGATGGTATGCATCAAACAGATAAGTGAGAACGACCACCCGATCACGTTAGTTTCCTTTTACGACAACATGTGTTATTGAATAACATATCTGATTCAGGCTGTATCAGTTGAATGAAGAATAATCATTCAGTTGCAACTGTTCTCTGCAAAAGTCTTAACTCACAGGGGAAAGTTGCATATAAACACTATCAGCGCTATTCAATACACGCACAGAAAAGTTGGTACACACGTTGGCAAACGAGGTAGATGCATTAGAAATAGATTTTGCGCGAATTAATTATTGACAGTCGTTTAATATATGATCCCGAGTGAGTGAGTGAGTTGGGATTTACGCCGCTTTTAGCAATACTCCAGCAATATCACGGCGGGGGACACCAGAAATGGGCTTCACACGTTGTATCCATCTGGGGAATCGAACTCGGGTCTTCGGCGTGTCGAGCAAAAGCTTTAACAACTAGACTGCCCCACCGCCCCTCGCCTAGATGAATGCTACCACGCCAACTGTCGTTCATTTCCCGATTTCAGTATGACCAGGTTGCCAGTAGTGCGGAGGGTAAATGAATTAACAATAGCTAGCATATTATTGAATTGGCTCACGTGAAAACCAGACGAACCGAATCAAGCGGCTGTCGCCAAGGGCATTGTTCCAACAGAAATCATGAACAGAATTGAACTTTATTTACACTGCGGTAGCGCTCTGCGGTATTGGAGGTACAAGCTTACATCATTATGTACAGCTTAAATACATGTATGAAACATAAACATGAAGTCGACAGCTGTGAGCGATTGCCTGTGATGACGTAGTGTGGGTGACCATTGTATGTATCTGGGAAGCAAGCTAGGGGTCAATCAAGGTGGAGAAATGTTGTTTTTACAGATGAGTCTAGGTTTAACATTTCCCATAGTGATGGACGTCAACGTGCCTATAGACGCGTGGGAGAACGTTATGCACAGGCCTGTGTCTTGGAGAGGAATCGCTTTGGTGGTGGTTCCGTGATGATTTGGGTAGGAATAACAGCACGCCAAAGAACTCCTTTGGGGATTGTTCAGGGCAACTTAACTGGTGTGGGCTACAGGGATCAGATTCTTCGACCTGTGGCAATTCCTTTTCTGCAACGTCATGGCCCTGGGTTAACATTCCAACAGGACAGTGCCCGCCCTCATACGGCAAGGGTTGCTATGAATTTCTTGCAACACCACAACGTTGACTTACTGCCTTGGCCTGCAAATTCACCGGATCTCTCCCCGATAGAGCATGTTTGGGACGAGATGGATCGACGTCTACGCCGTCTTCCTCATCCGCCAGATAACGTCCTTGATCTTGCAACAGAACTTGAGAGAATCTGGCGTGACATCCCACAAGCCTTCCTTGCACGTTTGATGGGCTCTATGCGTCGTCGATGCACTGCTGTTCTCAATGCCGATGGTGGACATACCCGTTATTGAGCTTGTGACATGGTCGTTTGACCCCTGTCCCGCTTGTGGACTCGTGACGTCATTGTGACTGACTTTTCAGTTGAAATTCTCCCGACTTGTTATGGTCTCATGATCCCTCCATTACGGTTTATATGTACCGTTGACATTGTTATCGTACTTATCAACTGGGATAATATTTTGACAATGCACAGTTTCTTTATGTGGCTAGTATAGTTTGGGGATATCGTTTGGGTTCATCATGGAAAACAATACGTTTTATTTCAACAAGTTATACAAGCAAATAAACGGTAGAACCATCACGGTAACAAAAGTAGCCTGTACATGCGCTACTCTAGTGAGTAGAAGAATTGTTTTTTTCATATTATATAACATAAAATTATAATACTCGCACTGGTCGAATATATGGGGAGAACAGCCGACCTGACACGCACATACGCACATACAATCTCCATATATATATATACAGGTGTATATATAAAAGTATGTAACCTTAACTCACCTTTATTCAGGTGAGATATGTTTGATATTATTGATGTAGTTAGTAATATGATGTCAATGAAATATATGTAAAATCATGTTTTAATGTCACTAAGGTAGTATCCTGGAGTAATGATAATATTCAGCAACGATAATATTCAGCAACGATAATATTCAGTCACACGCACTAGTACTGTACTGTATAGTGGTTTGTGGTAGTGAAGAAAGAAGCCAGCAAAACAACCATGTAAACATGTCCTGTGTATGTGAAATTTATCATCTGATGGAGGGTGTTATCGGTGCAATAAAGCAATCTGATAAACTTGGTATCCAAATCTGATAACTATGCAAATTAGGTCAATCCACGAACTACTTTCACAAAACTCCATACACGCCATGCGAATCCTAAAACGTTTAAATATTTCATTGAAAACGTCGTCACGAATTTACATTGTTTGTAAACAAACATGGCTGCCCCCATTCTCAAAATTGGTGATTCTGTAAGAATTGATGACCGAGGTTCTGGAGTCGTTACTGCAAGTAACTGACTTTGGTAAACATGAAACGGAGTACTTCGTTCAAATTGAAGGCACTGATTATGAGGTACGACTGAAAGGCAGTCGTCTAAGAAAGGTACCAACCAAGGATTTCGATCTGTCGATCACAATACTGACGACGATCCGTTCCGTCAGGTATCAGAAACTGATATTGATGAGGTGATTACCCGCAGTGGAAATAGAAACACTGCCAGGAAAACCCTGCACGATTTTGTTGTTCTTTTTAGACAGAAAGATCTTATTTTAAGTATGAGTTATGTTTACACTGTATTAGCGACTAGTCACAACTATATGAACGACCTTCACCTTGGTGTACCGCTAAGTATTCTTACGCGAATGCTCGATTCTCTTCATATAACACGTACGATTTGCTTCTGTTATTAGAGTAATTTTAAGAATGACATTATTTGATAAAGAGATTATTAACCTCGTGTGTTTCCGTATCATAAATATCATATATTAGGAATACAAAATATGCATTATGTTCGCCAAAGGAATTTTTATTCTTAATACATGATATTCATGATACGGGAAGACACAGGTTAATAATCTCTATATATGTGTATATGAAGTCATCTACATGACACGTCTTATCGATAACAACGTCTTTATATTCTTTACACGACGTTTCAGAGCTAATTCTTTCCGAATTTTATGAAGATGTCCATATAGTGTCAGTGGCTTGAGTTTTACGGACCTTTAGCAATATTTCAGCAACATCACGGCTGCGGACACCAGAAATGGGCTTCACACATTGTACCAATGTGAGGATTCGAACCTGGATCTTCAGTGTGACGAACGAACGCTTTAACCACTAGGCTACCCAACCGCCCCTGATGTCCATCATGTAAATGTTGAGCATTCATATCAAAAACAAAAACAAAAGATAAACAAACCAAAAAATCCAAAAACAAAACAAAACAAAACCCAATTATTGTCCGCTGAGCATAAACCCTTAATTTACAATGGAATTGACATGATATTGTGATATTATTGGGGTGGCGGATGACGGTGCTTGTATCATTTATACATTGATGGAAACATACTCACATAGATCATTTCCGGATGATATACCCCCCACCACAAGCGGGGAACCCCCCTCCTCCAAGGACATAAACGTGTTGAGGAGTGTACGCACACGGTTTAGTCATATCGTTACTTCATATCAAATATATATTAAATATTTGCTTTATAACCTGCTATCAATTAAATGCAGAGCGTTGATGAAACACAGGAAACTGTCCAAAAGTGGATCTCCATGCCATATGTTTACCAATTTACCTCGTTACGTCACTGGCGTTGATGTTGCGCTCTAACGAGCCAAAATGCTGTAACAGTTCATTGGTCGTTTTCGACAGCCTAGAGCCCTAATGCGAATTGATAAGACTGACCGTAGTTGTTTTTTTGTTTCTCAATTTCCCGCTCGCCTTGAATTTTCATTCATGAAATAATATTACCGAAAACTATTATTACCGATATTATTTGTAAGAGTTTACCCCGGAAATTTATGTCCTGAAGTGATAAAAAAATAATCTACCACTCATGA